ATTACGGAAGTGCATTGAATAGTGAGTTGACAAACTCGACTCGGCTCGGTAGTCACTATCTCTTTGTAGATAGCATCAGTTATTCAATTAGTTGTAAAAAGGAGTGCAACCTATTTAAACAGACCCGGTGAAACAGACTGATTCAAATAGGTCACATCCGACGAGCACTAATCTATTTTAGTACTCGTTGCTATGCAACTTTTCGTCTGTATCTAATGTTAAAAGAATTCTATCGAGCTATATTGAGGAAAACTATTTCTGTCTATTACTTTGAATAGACCGGGAAATAACATTTTAAATAAAACACGTTAAATTGTTTCAAACGCTACATGTATGAGGTAAACTTATTTACAAATTATTTTAAACACGGCCCCGTGACCACAGGTGCTGGTAAGCATTCGAAAGATGGGGCCATAGTTTGTGTTTTGTTTAAATGTGTACTACTACAGACAATGTTTAATGCCACTTCACCTAATACTATGGAGAAAAAAGATTAAATCACTTCATAATGAATAAAATCCTAGTAATATCGTCCAATCACAAAGTTTAACGTCAGAAATTGATACAATCTTAGATTGCCAATAATCCATTCAGCGCTCAATCTATCTTATCCGCTTCATAAAACTTTCTGAGAAAAGGAGGGATGCGAAGGATTAACCAAGTTTTTCTAAAAGCTTGATAGAAGACCACGAGCGACCTGTTTATATTTTTACCTTATATATTTATCTGTGTATATACACAAATATGTTTAAAAAATTATACTTCACAAGTGCTCCAGACCTATCTGATAAATTATCTGATAAGTGTTTTATTTAAACGGGTGAAAGTTGATGACAAAACGAGTCATGAATCCGCTCCTTTATTCTAGTAAATAAAAACGCTGTCTTTTTATACATTTTGTGCCTTATGTCTAATAAATAGTATTATACATGTCAACATTTACAAAGAAAACGTAGCCTTGAGAAATATAATAGCAATGTTCACAGACAATGCTAGCAGAGGAAAGCGGCTTATCTAATACAGACAGCTGCCTATACGTTTAGAGAGAAAAGCATTGTTAACTTTAGTATGATCCAAATAAATGTTATTATGTGAAATAAAATTACAACTAACGTATATTTTAAGATTACTTAATTAAAATTTGCTTCGGTACTTTAATAATAATTCTTTCTGTTCTCGTACGATGTTCGTAAAGGAAAACACTTAAGATTTTTTGAACCGTTTTTCACAAATAACTGACATCGTTAGCCATGCGAGCTTAAAATCTTTATCAAATTATGTGATTGCCAGTTTTCTGTTTGTGCAACGAACAGGTCTGACGAAGTAAAAAGATTTTTACAGAGAATTGCATATGTAACCGATTAATTGCATAGCAAACGTTATTTACCAGGTGTAAGAGAATGCAAATAAATTGTGATAGTAAGTAGATCTTAAGCGTCAACCGTCAATAATACCACGTTTCACACGTACAAAAAAAAAAGAAATGAAAATATTGCAGATTTTTCTTTTATTTTTGTTTCAAAGCGTTTGCTCTGAAAAAATAATCAAGTTCAAAAATTATTACGCGAACAAAAGGAATTAAAAAACCCGTATCAAACGAGATACAGATTTGGCAGCGCGCCAGACCACCGAAAAATAAATATTGCTCACTTACACTGACTGACCTGAATGATTGCTCAAGTTACTTTTGGCTAATCCTGATATTTTGAAAATGTAAAATCCATGCGTACGTTAATTCGGCGCAAATAATTGATGCCGCTTAAATTGTCCCTTACACATACATTTTTTATGAAGAAAGATATATTCGCTTCAGTTAAATGAAAAAATCGGCTTAATTGGGTTTAGGTAAAGGTAGCACATAATTTTTTTAATGAATCAGCGAAAAAAACCTATTTCCCCTTGGTGACAGATTTATTTAACAAAGGTTCGGCCTACATCAGCCACAGGAATTTTTTATTCTAGCATTGCTTGTTCAGAATTCAGACAAAGAATATATATATGTATAACAAGTTATATCTACATATGATTTTTTTTGGAATTCACATTATATTATTTTAATCACTTTTTCTTCATAATATTCGTATTATTCCAAAATCCTGTTATAAAGTTATGAGACAATACAAACTTTAGCTGTTATTTTAGGTTAGAGTACCAACCAAATAAGTAGATCTTAAAATCTAATTTATCATTGGCAAAGTCAAACGCAAAAATACGTATAACACAAACTTCTATTTTGATTTTCATGTCGATACCTACGCTTAATCTTGAAAAGAATTTCCATCGATTTTAGGGTAACAATAGAACCTTGATTGATTGATGGCATATTCAACAGCAATAGGGGAATAGGGATATCCCTCAATTTCCACATATGACTATACCTATTTCTTATTGATGAGATATTATCTGAAACATAATAAAATGGCCTCGTCGCGTGTCTGTACATCTAATTACCAGAAGGACTGGGGTATAAAAATAGTAACTGACAAAAGTGGCGAATATAAATATATTAGCCACTTTTGTCTGTACCAGGTGTCGACGGATGGATAGATAGATAATCCGAAATCGCAGTGCTTTGCGCTATTTTTTCTCTTCTTGCGCAACATAACCACATAATTATTGGAATCGGGTGGTGTACAAGTTACAGCCTGTCTTAAATCACTGTCTAACGCAGATAAAGTCGCAGGCACAGCTAGTAAAGCTGACATTCAAAATTCCGTGCACACCCAGCAAAAAGTTAAGCTACAAACAGTTGGCACTACGATTTGAAATACGGAGCGGGCGGTCGCGGCGTAGTTGTAACAATTAGTGCACTGTGCACGTCCTCAGACGACCCTTCACCGCTCGACTTCACAGAAAGTTGAGACTAAACGTGACACGATCACTTTTTTTTACATATATACTCTTGATATTAGGTCTTATATATTTAACTAGCTGCGTCAGGGACTTCGTCATCCAAATTTGTTTTTGCAAACTCCGTCAACTTTATAAATTTGAAGCTATTCCTACCAGTCCCTTCCGTCGTTCTTGCAAGTTAATTTTAAAATTAGACATTTTTAGATTACTTAAAGAGTACTCTTTCATACATGTTTGTTGGGTATTTTGAACAGTCGCGTACGCCTTGGAAACACATAATGATTACAAATTTTCCCCGTTTTTTTCACAATCCCCACTGCTTCTTTATCTCTATTTGTCTATATAAAACCTTCCTCGATAAATGCTTTAACCAATACAAAAAAATAATTCGAACCAGTAGTTGCTAAGATTAGCGCGTGTAACATACAAACCAACAAACTCTTCAGCTTTATATATTGGTATAGATAGTTTTGATTAAGAAAGGGAATTACTATTTCACCAAAATAATTTCCCAAGATTTTGTCAGCATACCAGTTGTTCTTGCGTATCATTCGAATTTTATATGCGACTCGAAATATACAGAGATGGGAGAGGAACTAAGAAGCAATTTTATGCCCGATAGAACACAATAATACTTATGTCATCATACTATTACAATTAAATTGCTAACGTTTACGTTACCTACTATGTTAGAACATTACACATTACAAAATCAGCTATTATTTTATATTATGGCAATGCCCCTGGTGTTAAAAACAGTGACATTATTCTTGAAATTATTTTATTAAAGCTAAATAAGAAGAACTTACAATAAGAAAAACGAGTAGGAAAGCATCAGAATAACGGATTCGAACATTAATTACGATTGTCTAATCTTCAATGTCCACTATATTAAATTATTTACTTCCTACATAATAGAATCGACCATTATGTTTCTAAGATAACATTATTTCTGATGATGCAGTATCTGCCGTTAAAATACTTTGGAATTTTCAATAAATACCTTCCTTGCATATAAGCCATCGTAAATAAATCTTAGGTACTTCAAAACTTTTGCCCTTCTGCATTTTTATTTATATTTGCCTTTGAAAACTTTATTATTTTTTACGTGTTATTTATTGCACATGAAGGCACTATATAATTTAAAAATCGAAAATAAATTGAAAAAATGTTCGATTCGGGCAGGAGGGCATCGTCAGCTCTCAGCGCAACAGCACGGCCCTTAATCATATTCACTTTTCTGAAAGACTGTGAAGGTAAAAATGTAGATTATTGCATAAAATTTAACTATAAAACCTCATGCACATTTTTTTTTGGCATCGTCAGCGTTCAGAGACCAACCAACCATTTAATTTTGGGTTCCGAGTTCAGCTACCCCCAAAAAAATCTCCAAAATTTCGGAAGGCCCCCCCCCAAAAAACCAAAAAAAAAAAACCCAAAAAAAAAAAAAAAAATTTTTTAAAACAAAAAAAAAACGGGGGGAAAAAAACGACCACCCAGTTCTAAAGATTCCGAAAGATGACAAGAAATCAATACTTAGTAATAGTCCCCAAATAAAATATAGACGTATTGTGATTAATAATAATAATTTTACGTAAACTATTTGCTAATTACCTCTTTGCTTTGTCACTACGCTGACTTTGCAAATACGTGATTACCTGCGACCTCACAGTGAAAACTGGAAACACTGTACAAAAGAGAACAGTGCGGAATAGAAGATATTGTAATTATCACCTAAAAGGTTTAAAATTTTACCATAAATTTGGATAATTCGATCTTGTTAACACTGTTGATCTTCTGATATCGATCTTTCGATTTATGACCAAATTGCTAGTGTCTTCATGGGTTCAATTTTGCAAGTAGTTGGACAATGAAAAGGCTAAAGGTATTAAAAAAAAACTGTTTTGACAGTTCGCAGCTGTGTGTAAATATACCGAAAAAGAATTCAATTTTGTTACAGATTTGTACCAATCTAGACGTTGTATGCACGGCTAAAAATCTTTTTAAACCATTACAACAGAAAATTACGTATTGCGCCGAACCTGCCCTAGTCATTACATAATTACAATATGATTCAAGTAAGTACTTAGGTACCTACCTACTTTCGAGGCTCAGAAGTCTGGGCACATTGTTAGTAACATGCCAAAATGCATGAGTTTCTTGCAAACATTGGTATGGAACCTTGTTTTATACGATATCTACTCGAACAATTAACATTAGACAATGTATTGCTTGATTTTTTTGATGAAAATAACCTGTTGACATTTTCCAATATGGCTCACTTCAGTTATATCACTTTTTGGGATTCTAGCAGAATTTTGTCTAGAAATTTATCTAATATGATTTATTTTATGTACTTATACTGTCGTATGTTTTTTACTTTTTCATGTATATTGTGGTTTATGTATGTTTCAGATTAATTATTCCCATTATGGTTTTCTAATCCCCAGGATTTAAGGCATGTATCTTAAAATTTAAACAGTTTAGTATAATGTAGTCTATCTATCTAGATTAGGACATTGAATATCATTTTTATTTTTAAGGTTATGGATCCAATAATAGATGGTGAATGGTTAGGAAGCAAAGGTGATCAATTAGATGATGTTCAAAATGTTGGAAATATTACACGTAGTTGGGTTTGGAGGGAACGAGGAGTTAATCCTCCAAATTCTCCAAATAACAAGACTGTACTGGAAAATGTTGCTGAAGACATTCTTGTACAAAAGCCTCTAAAAATAAGAGTAAGTAAAATAGTGTTATTATTAGTTAATAATATATAGGTTACCATGAAAATTAACTATAGTTATATAAATTATTAGTATTGAGTCCTACATATTAAATTATTACTCAATAAATCTAAAACTTAAATATTTTAATGGCATAATTGAAATCTTATGACTGTTTGCTCTCTTAGTGCTGTGATCTACCAGGATATCCACGCTCCACATTTCTTATGGTGTTTAGTCCTGATGGGTAAGAAAATTATATTCCCTTATAAGTATTTAATGATTTGCATTCCCAAATAATTGTATCATTGAATTCTAGGACCAAAGTTGCATCGACACATGGAAATCACAACGTGTATGTCTCAGAGCTAGCAAGTGGGAAACATGTAAGGATACTAAAAGGTCATCCTCGCACACCCTGGTGCATAGCATTCCATCCATCACACCCAGAACTTATAGGATCTGGTTGTCTTGGTGGCCAAGTTAGAGTTTGGGATATTTCAAGTGTGAGTGTAATCTTTTTTTTTGATATTATTAGAATTAATAAATAATCAGTATTTTGTATCTGTGTATACAAACATATTTATGCATCTTTTGAATATTTCTATTTTTAACTCTTATCCATGTACAGTGTATTATACCATTAAATCTCTAAAATATTTTTATTCTTTAAGGGCATAGATAATACAATTTATTTTATCAATGTAAGGTAGACATAAAGTGGTAAAAAAATGAAATAAATACAAAAACTTAATATTCTTACAACTTTAGGGAGGTAGTGAGGTATGGAGTGTACAAAAGGAGACTGTGATAGCATCTATAGCGTTCCATCCACGTGAACAGCTCTTAGTAATAGCTACATCTAATGAACTCTATTTTTGGGATTGGAGTCATCCTGCACCATTCACTAAAGTCTCGACTAGTAATATTAATGAAAAAGTGAGGTATGGCAATTGAAATGATACCAAGTAAAACAATCCAAATGTTTCTCTTTTTTGTAATTAAACCTGCTTTGCTACAAATTATGATCACACAGTATTCCTAATTAATTAGTTCTCAAAAAAAGAAAGGGGATGCAGTCCTCAGTGGGTCTGATGTCAGCTTTGTGTTTCTCAGTTTTTGTATGAACTATTAGTATATTATATTACTAAATCTAGATATTGCTTAACTATATAATTTCAAGTTTTAAGTCAATTTACTATCGTGCCATCTTTTAATACAGTTTGCAGCAAATAGTAAAAGCCTTTCTCTTCTGTTTAGTTTCTGGTTTCGTTTTTCCAGTATTCAGGGTTTCACCTACCTATAACTTATTTATTTACAGATATGTGGCCTTTGATTCTCTGGGATATAAATTAATAACTGGAATATCATTGTGTACTTCACCTGGTGGTCACACATCTATTCTTCAACGTAACAGTAATTCTAATATCCCTCATGTTACCATTAATCAGAGAAGAGATGATCCAGATCCAGAAAATCCACCAAATTCAGCAAATAATAGACCCCAGGAATCTCCTGCTACACGAGATGTCATTGTAAACTCTTATCAAAATTTAGTGCAAAGATATGATAGCCTTGTGAGAAACTATCAGAGGTTATTTATGGTACGACATAGGCTCACAACTACAACACCACCGCCCAGCACGGTATGAATCTATTGAAGTCTACTAAGAAGGCTTCTTAAAAATGTAGTTCATATTTCTAGTCAAATGTAGATATCATACATATATCTACTTTTAACATACACATATATCTACTTATATATATATATATATATATATATGTATGTATGTATGTATAACAACAGTAAGAAGGCTTCTTAAAAATGTACTTCTTATTTATAGTCAAACATAGATATATATTTTAATAACAAATTTTCAGACGGATCGTGGTACAGACCCAATGGAAACAGATCCATTGCCAGAAGGTAGTGCCCAAAATCATACTGTTCAAGCTTCAGGATCATCTAATACTGACAATGGTATATATGTGTTTTGAAATAGTAGAGTAATATTATTTGCCTCTTTTAATAATAATACTATTGATTATACTTTTTATTTTAGATCCTGTTCCAGGATCATCAAATAGACAAGACAACACAGATGGTGACGGATCTAGTAGTAGACTGCTCAATCTTGATGCACTATCATTTGGCAATGACACGGGGTGAGTTTTTATTTATTTCATATAAGATAAAATTACTTTTATTCTAATGAGTACTATAACTACAGTTATTGCTTTCTGAATTAATTAATAATAAAAAAAGTTATATTGAACTTATCCTTTTTAGAGAACAGTCGATGGGTAACACAAGCACTGTGCGTCCAGAATCTTCTGTTTTTGGCTCCAGACCATCTGCATTCCAACCATTAAGTGATCAGACCCGACCTTCCCTGTGGTCAGGAGGAAACGAATCAATCCAACGTGCTAGACTTTTGCCTAATCCATTTTCTCCAACGAGACGTCCCTTCATTACAACTGTATTTTCAAATGACGATAATTCGGGTTCTTCGCGAACGAACATGTTTCCTGCATACAGAACGGAAACAGTGCCACCCCCTGACGCGTTACAACAACTTACTTCTACGTTTAATTTAGACAATCTCTACCATTCAGAAAATGAAGCTTACTTAGCTTCATTATCTCCTAGCTATAGACCCTGGAGTTTAGGAGACACTCCAGAGAGTTCATCAACCACTCCTAATACAACAACTACGAATACGCCTTCTCCTAATAATTCACCCCTTGATGCACAGACTATAAATGAAAGTTTAGATCTAATTCGCGATATTCTAAGAGATTCTGGCACACGTTTATTGAATTTAATTACTAACATGTCCTTATCGACGTTAAGTAGAGCGGAGAGAAGAAGAGATAGCGCATCCAGAGCACATTCAGACGGTGATGGGTCTAGTGACGGCACTTCACGATCCCGTAGTACGAGAAATCGGCCGAGAGTATACAGTTCGGGCTTACTAAATGCTTTGTTTCTGTCGTCGAGTTCCGAATCTGATAGTGATAACCCCCCGGAGGTAAATATTTTTAGGACCAGAAATTCATCTTTCAGAGAGGAGAGCCCTCGAGAAAGTAATCGACAAACGGAAACTGAATCTCCTGGTAGATCAGAGAATCCTGCGGATCGGTTAGTTTTCGAGTTAAACAATGACTTACCGTTAGACGAAAGTATTCTCGAACAAGGTGATAGTGGCGTATCCGTTAATAGTAGACACTTATTAGATAGATTCCGTGTTCGAACTCAAAGTACCACAAATGAGAGTCCTGGTACGGCCAACAATGACGAAACCAGAGAGCCTCCAAGTCAGAATCCCCCCTTCGATCCAAACATGCCTTCTACTAGCAGGGATAATTTCTGGTCTGGTGGCAATACATTATCTTCTGAAGAAGCATTTAGAAAAGTAAGAGGAGGAGTTAACGCCTTACAAAAGCATGCTCAACAGCTCACAAATTTCTGGATAAGAGGCCAGAGAATAAGCATGCGTGATTTACGCAATATGTGGGAAAATTTAAGAAGAAGAATTATGATGCTACACAGAGAAACGGGACGGCAAGATGTGCCCAGCTATTACTCTAGATCTCTTTTAGAAAGATGTATGATGTTGACTGACATGTCTGATAATGTGGCTCGTGGATCAACTTCGAGTAGAACTAGGGGAACCCAAAGAGTCGAAGATAGAAATTCTGAGGCAAATAGGGAATCGCCTGCAGAATCTGGGGCACCTGAAAACGAACAAAGTACTACAACAGAAAATACGAATAGACAAAGCAGAACTTCACAAACCAGGTCTTCTTCGGGAGGTCGGTATTCACCATTCGCTCGTCGTCGTACACAAACCAACCAAAGGAGCCGATTTGAGGAGGAGATTCGAAGGAGAGCCCGTAATGCAGCTATAATTCGTCCATCCCTCCATCGGCCGTCGCAAAGATTTAGTAGATCTCGTAGAGAACTCGCGCGAGCGATAGAGGTCAGTGCTACGAGACATGAAATAAGGATGCGTGCCATGCAAGTATTGTCAGTAATGTTCAACATGATGATGATGTGCTTAGAAGAACGTGGTTTAAGTCAACTTATTATAAGCATGTTGCGGACATTGAAAAAGGCATTAGCTTTAACTTGTCTAATGCTTATGTCTAATAGAAATGTCGGAAGACCGAATGGGAATAGTAATCAGTCACCGCAGCGCTCTGAAAGCCGTAATGTCAACTTGTCAGAAAATGAAGTAAATCCCAGCCACGCTAATACACCAGAAGCGGCGCCTTCAGCATCAAGTGAGCCCGAAGAAGGGCGAAGTCGTGAAAACACGACGTCGTTTGGAGAAAATTCCACAACTCCTGGAACAAGTGCTAACAACACACAAGATGATTCTTCAACGTCGACTCCTAGTACAGTAACTCAGAGATGGAGCAATCGCCTAGCAGTTCTTATAGCAGCAGCAAATAGAAATACTTCTGCAACTGCGAGGCGTAGAAGAGAGCTGTATATGGAGGGCAGAAGGCTTAAAGCGTTACATAGAACTAATCCAAATGCAAACCCACTAATAAAAAAGAGAATGCTTCCTCCCGTATCAACCCATAGAATACCTACGTTGCGCTCTTTGCCTAGAAGGAGCATTTTGAAAACACCTACAGCTAGACCTTCAAATACTAATGGCGACGCTGGTTCACCTTCTTTCAGGCTTCCAGGTGAAAACCAAAATCAAGAACCGTCAAATCTACCGCCCGAAGTTATGAATGAATTTGAGCATCGGATTAATCTTATACGTATCGCGCATATGCAGGCCGTGAGATTGAGAAATGCCGCTAGGACTAGATACAGACGACTGCAAACTATCCGATTGTATACTCCATCCTCGGTGAGAGAAATGTTTACCCTGCATGATGCAAATAATCAGAATCAACAGACTGGTCGATCATCTACGTCAAGCAACTCCGAACAAAGCAATCGTGCGTATTTTGAAAGTAGGCCGTCTTTACTGAACAGAGAAAGCCTTATTGCACGCCTACCTACAATGCCGAATACAGATGCTTCGCAACACTATTTGGCGGGTGGCCCACTCCTGCAAGTAAATTACAACAATCCTGAAGGAGGGCACGGGAATCAGCAAATGCGAATGCCAAGAATTCACGAATATTTGCAACCGATCATTTTGGCTCAGGTAAATGCGTTTTCCCTTTTACAACGCTTTTACTTAATTTTGAATAATAGTTCTAAAATTAAAAACATGTGCAAACCTTTTAGTCCCTATTGTACGTAAAATACCAAACTAAAGACCAATTAAAATTGTGCATCTTATTATTACCTACAGCAACAAACTTCTTAATTTTGATATGTAGAATGCAATGGTCATCGACGACGATGGCAATGGAGAGGGCGGTGGGCCAGGACCTGGTGGTGGGGAGGGAATAGCCGTGATTGGTGCTCGTCGTATGGGCGGTATGGCTGGTTTACTTGATGCGGGTATCATATCTGAGACGTACCCCGCACCTTCACACAGAGTCCAGGCTTGGGACTTCACGAAAGGCGCCACTCCTGATATAGCCGATAGTATGTAGTTTTTCTCTAAACTCCTCAAACCGTTGACATACATACCGTGAATAATAGTGAGTGTTATTTACAAAAACACACAGCTACCACTACAGCCACCGCAGGTGGGTAGTAGGGTATATGTAAATAACTATCACCACCAAATGTTAAACAGATCTTGCATTCTTTTTCTTATATGTCAGTTTATTTATGTGTTAGAATAAGTTTCTTGAAGTAAAATTAAGTTACTATGTTGTAGAATGAAGGTTATAGATGTGACCTTCGAGTTTCTTGTCAAATATCAAATTTTGTATTGATTACATTTTCAAGGTTCCAAAAACGTTGTGGTCCAAAGATGTAAAATACACAACGACGCGAGTATCGACATTTCAAAAGACGGAAGGTTGCTGGTCGCGCTTTTGCCGATGCCACGGCTGCGCAACACAAATCATTGGCTAGGTAAGATTAAGACCTTGCTAAAGTAATGTTAATCTTCAAACTAGTTGAAAGGCTAATGAATATTAACCGTTACATTTCGGTTGCTTTTCAGTAGTCGTGAGGTTTTACCACATTTTTTAATAAAGCTAGGGTGTCAACCCGTTCAAAATAGATCTATGATGATCAGCACGATGATATTTAGCAGGTGTGTACTCGTTGGAGTGGTCCCGCTTAGGTCAATGTTTGCATACGGCGGTGCTAGAGCAGAATGCGGTTTCAGTGGCATTGTCCCCCACCGCACGTCATCTAGCTGTGGGACTGGGTTCGCGACGTTTTACTTCGGTTCATCACGCAAGGAGCAATGTATTCGCGCTGCTTTATCGACTTGACCCACTAGGTACGTAATTCTAATAAAATATGTATGTACTTTACATTGTAACAGCTTTCACCATAACACGACTGTCGAAGTCGTAGACGTAGTTTATTTGATTACAGCGTATATCGAATTTTGGCACTAGTTACAAAATATTTCCTTCCGTTAAACATCTAAATATGTACTCCCTGGTGCGTCTTTATATACAATAAGATAAAATGGTTTGTTTTGACTATTCCATACTGAGCAATTCATTCATAGACTTTATCAAATGGTTTCATATATTGATATCCTCCCATAGTTCTCACTTCTCAGCAGATCTGTTTAATGCTTTTTTGCCAGAAGAGGACATGTTTTGACGATAACGATTCATCAGACTTTTAGTGATTTAATTTAAGCCATAGTATTTATTGTATTCGTGCATTAAAACTCTATTATTTTCAGAGAACTCAAGCCGCACTGGTTTATCGCCCATCAAAGAATTGGAGCAGACGTGGGAGCACGGTTTCACTAGTCTCAACTGCTTACGTTGGGCTCCACAACCCGGACAGGGACTCGTCTACGCCAATAACACGGGACAGCTCATCATTATGAGTTAAATAATATAACTAGGACTTAATGGTACCTTTTTCAAAATTCACTAAAAAGATAAGGCGTACAATATTTTCGTTAATAGAATGGTATCAACTAAACCTTACGTTAGTAAACGGATACGTTAGATACGGAAATGAGATGTAAATTTTAAATGTTATAAAATGTTGGTACAAGATTACTACTCTCATGATCTCCAGTAGTGACATATGAGTTTTGATTAAAAGTCCCTAACTCACGAAGAGTGTAAGATAGCCATAGAACATACAAATGTGTGTGGCATGTGATTAAATGTTATTTGTAAATAGTAGTACGTTTAAACGTTATTTGGTGATCACTAATAGATTTGGCAGATTATGAAAACATATACATAGCGTTAATCTCGAATCAAACTATCAAAATGTTAAATATGTGACAAGTTTACAGTGGCTTTAGTGTGAACTGGATTTTGATATTCAAATCGCTATTCGCTGGTAAGAGATTCGACGAGACTACCAGTTTAGTAATTTAAACAGAGACATTAGTGATTGCTGTATCTACTAAAAAAACTTATCGAAACATTTTTTCCAGATTATAAGTATAGGAAAAGCTGTATGTTTCTTTTTTTAATGATCTCTAACTCGTGTAAATGATTAAAAGTAATATTAGCCCTGTTTATAAAAAAACGTTACTGGTTATATACGCCGTTATTTGTTACCAAGAAGTAGAAACCTTTGACAAAATACCACGTTGGCAAGGGTGGTGGGGTTAGCAAGCCGAAAACCATGAATTTTATATAGTTAGCCGAAAAATAAAATTCTGTTTTCTGTGTCATCTATAAAATTTCCTTAACAATGCCTACATAGTGCGTTTTAAATATGTAAATGTGTCTATCGTAAATATTTAAAAGCTTATTTCATAATATCTGTCCTACTATAATTTACAATTAATTATATTTTTACAACTATGTCCCACATCGGTAACTGCGGTAACGTTTTCAAATCAACAAATGTGTAGTATTAAATTTTTGTATAACACTGTCAGAAAGTATTAACGTATTAAAACCTTTGTGCTTTCCGCATTGTTCATATTGCAAATTGCATTTTTGCCACTACCTTTCTTTGTTTGAGGTTTCTATTAAAACTTCGGTACTATAAGTAGCAATTTGAATACTACATAATAAGTAGACAAAAATAAGATCTTTTTAATTTTAAAAGAATTGATAACTTCATGCGTTTGTAGTGTGTAACAGAATTATGGTTAAAAACTAAAAATGTAAATAGAAAAAACAATCCTTGGCTCACAAATTTAACATATATTGCATTTTCAGTTGTTGTAGCAGTTTGTTTGGAAGTTCTTTCATATATTTGTAACTCTTATGTGTATAAAGCTCGCTTTTTTCTTGTAAAATAGTAATAAACAGGAATCCAAACTATTTCTTGTTTTCTCGTATCTCCCTTATAACTAACTAAATTACGAACAGCCGAATGGAAAGAGCTGCGATTATCGAACATACCCTCAGCTTGACTTAACAATTTGTGAGTCTACGGAAATATTCGGAACAATTTGTAAAATAAGTGGAGGGAAAAAAAAACAACGGACTTTTTCTAATAATTTATTCGTGTGACAAAGATTGCCAAATGTACAAAATGTGGCTAGATTATTATTATAGGTATAGTGTGGCTAATTTAGATTTCAAATATCCCTGCTTTATGGTTCGAATTCATTACGATTCGTAGTTAATCTTTTTTTTTTATTCTGTACCAAGCTACAGTACTAAGTATCGCTTTGTCAAAGTATTTCCTTTCAATGTCCCGAAAAGAGAACGCACGTGCAAATAACCATATTTTATCGACACTCATTTTACATTTGGGATAAATTATGTTTTACAAGACATAAATATCAAAATAACCTATGTATATCTTTTTAATAAATGTACCTGTGATGTTTGGATTCAAACTAAAACAATCTAACTGTTATTTATTGATATTAAAAATAATAGGTACTTAATAATATTTAGTTTTAAATATTCAATCAACTGTCAATTGCACTTTTTACTAGGGTATTTAATAATACACAGATCCTACAAAACTAAATTTAGTTTTATAATTCAGAAGAAATAATAAATGAAGTTACTGTCACATTGAACCAAAATTAGCAATAGTTACAAAGTACTCGTAAATGATATCTCAATAAACGTAGTGCGCTAAATAGTGTTAATTAATCGATTATTATTATTATTTAATAACAAAAGAATGCAAATAGCCGTTTTAAAATTTATACATTACATAAGATCTTTCCAATTTCAGAAACGGACTTAATTTAAAATATACAAATGTTGTTTATGTTATATTGAAGATATACTATTTCCACTGTGACTTAGGAACTGCCACTAAACATGTCATTACTAAAACCTGTTTTAACAACTTACAAAATATTGTATACGCAAAACCATAGATATACTAAAAATTCCTACAAAATTATGTTTTGCTCATGCACAAATATATTATGTTCTTTTTGACACAGACCAAATTATATAATCAATTGTTAGAATTGAAGAAGTATAGTATGGTCAGCACGACACCATTGGTGACTTAGAAGCATTTAAATATAACATTATAGCATCTAAACTAACTTCTTTTTAGAGGAAGCGGCGATGTGATAAAATGCAATAAATGTTAGTGTTCTGACGGCTTCAGTTCCTTAATTTGCTTTATCAGATACGCCTTTTCATCATTGAATTGTTCATCTTCAGAGCGGTCTGTGTGGAACTTGGTCAAGAAATCAACTAGTTTATCTTGGTTTCTAAGCAATATGTCCAATATTGGTTTTGGTTTATTTGGATTGGCTACAAAAACCTAAAAACAAAAGGCGTATTAATAACAATAAATTAGAATTTAACTAAAATCTCAATATCAGGTTTATTGCTGTCATATTCTAAACTTTGAAGAAATGATTATAGCAAAGTAATATTTAGACTTACTTTGAAAACGTGGAAAGCTTCAAATTGAATATTGCGAGATTTTTCCTTCAGCATATTCATCATGAGTTTTAAGTTTTCAGGATTAGTTATGTAGCGAGTCATTATTGAGAAATTATGTCGATCTAATAGAAGTTCTCCGAGAAGTTTCAAACTTTGCCGTCGAGTAACGTAATTTTCGGAATTCAATAATCGCTGGTAATGACTGAACACCTTATCGTAATTTGCTTCTAAGAACTCAGCACTTAGTATTTTGTGTCGTGTTAACAATTCCTAGAAAAATAAAATAAATCTCATATCACTTTGCATTGCGGTAAAAACATTATGCAATGGTTTAAGAAGTTATCGTTTTATTTTCTATTCAAATATACTAATACCCTTAAAATTCAGACTTGGAACGTAGGCAATTTACTTTTATAAAACATAGCTTTTTTTTGTTCTATTTACCTTAAAGGTAGAAAAGGCATCAGAGGCAATATCAAATGTTGAAACTTCTACATAACGAAAGAAATTATAAAAATCATCTGAATATAACATTATTTTAGCTAAAGCCTCATATCTAGCACACTCCCTTAACATGGTACCACAGTTGGATGCAATCTCTTGATGTTCATACCTGAAATTTAAGCATAACATAATGCATCCAAAAGAACAATGCATATGGTACAAGACAATCAATATAGACTCTTTTCATATGACTATTTCCATTATTAAAACAATGTTTGAATATTCAATAAAAAAAAACTTACCCAGACATGAGGGTAAATAAAATTTCTGGCTTTGTACATATGTACTCAACTGTTGGAGAACGAGTACCAATTTGACGCCTCAACACATTGTTAAACACTTGTGCCACGTCTTTCTTTCCTTCGAAATCAATACGGTTCAGATTCTGTATTCGAAAAACAAGAACTTTATAGAGACAAAAAAAAACAAAAGTTGAGATTTAAACCATACAATGATAATAACTTACTTGAATAAGTAGAAGTAGCAAGTTTGTATTGTACAATTCCTGGGCCAACTGAGCAACTATAATATCAGTTTGTGGTTCAGCATCGGAAGTGCCATAGAGCATGTTTTTTATCAACACCTAATAGTAAACACTAATATCTTTACCAATTTCACAATTAATATTGACAATATTTTTGTAATAATTATACATATTTCTTACCAAGTTTTTGCTCACATCTTCTTGCGCTTTCTCTGCTTTTTTGTCACCTCTTTCTAAAGCTGTTACCGCATCTTTTAACGATCTAACGAGCTCTGCAGGGCTCTTTTGAGACTTACCAAAAAGCGGCATAGTTTCTCTAGTCGTTTTTTTTAGGCACACTAAACAATCTCGTCCTCATAAGATAAAATACCTGTAAACGATTAGTATGTATAAAAACAAAACAGAATACTTCAAACCTATTGAGTCTGAGTATGTCTACTAGAATGAAAGACAAATAAAAACTGTTTGTCAAACTAATTATGCACTTGCTAACCATTATTTATATCATTTTCGTATTAGAGATTTTTATTGCGTTTTATTATTACATCAAAATAGCACAGTAAGGAAACACTCACTTTCTGATAATATTACAAGAAAATCGCACTTACAATAGCGACATAACCCACAGCCAGACGAAACGATACGAACAGCTGTGATCTGTGTCAAATGTCAATAATAAAAAAAATTGCCAGAAAAAAAAAGATATCTAATCGCTGATCAATCATCATCTATCAAAGAAACTGCAATAATTATAATGTTAAAATAATATATTAATTATTTTTCCATCAGCATGGTATTTGTTAGTAAGTAATTGTATACATAAGTATAAACGGGAACGTAGTATTAATCACTAGTCTGTAAACTCTGTCTCGAGTAGTGCGCTTAGTCTACATCATGAATGACTTACAAAGATGACATAGACTTAGTAATTGCTTGGGAATTTGAGGTTATAAGTTATATTACATAGGTTACTTTTCTCTCAGCAAAGGCAAATACATCATAATAATGGATGAGACAAGTGAGAAACTGTCTAAAAAGTGAGTATTGCGTGAAAAAATTACACAATATGTATTCCAAACGTGCTACGTCCATCTTTAATTACTACACTTCATACAATAATTTGGTGAACAGACATATAAAAAAGAATCAACCAGTAATTCAGTTATACTCGACCGTAAACTCACGGTTAGTTGATGTTTAATAATATCGGTTCTTAATTTTTCCTTCTATACATAATTTAATTTTTTAGTGAGTTAAAACGCCGTCAGAAAGCTGAACAGAAATTAAAAGAAAAAGCTGAAAAAGCTGCTCAACAACCGGCTGTAAATGTTGAAAAGAAAATTTCTAAAGCTGAAGAAGAAATCAGTCCAAATGAATATTATAAGCTGAGAACCGCTGCTGTGGCTGCCCTTAAAACTGGAAGTAAAGAGGAGCACCCTTATCCACACAAATTCACTGTTACAATATCTTTAGAAGAATTTATTGAAAAGTACAATAATCTAAACAGTGGAGATGTCTTGGAAAATGTTACTCTCTCACTTGCAGGCAGGATCCATTCTATCCGAGAGTCTGGTGCCAAACTTATATTTTATGATTTAAGAGGGGAGGGTGTAAAGATTCAGGTACAGGTCTTTCTAATTATTGTATATATACATATATATTGTGAATGAACTGAATTTTCTTTATTATAAATTATTACTTGAGATTTGTATAATAATTATTTTGTAATATAATAAATAATTACACATGAGAGCATATAAAAAATATTTTTTAACTTAAATAAAAAAATATTAACTGACCAAGACAATGCAGCACAATTTGAAAGATATTAGCAATAGAATTTAATGTTCTCTCTGTTTTATATTAGATGTTGGTCTAAAAGTAATTCTTATTATAATTTCGGTCTATTTTCAGGTTATGGCTAATGCTAAATTGTATGAAACGGAAGAAAAATTTGTGAAAGATACAGATAAACTGAGAAGAGGTGATATTATTGGTTGTACAGGTCATCCAGGCAAGACAAAAAAAGGTGAATTATCAATAGTTCCCAAAACAGTGCAACTGTTGTCACCATGCCTTCATATGCTTCCTCATTTGCATTTTGGCTTGAAAGATAAAGAAACAAGGTTCAGAAAACGATACCTGGATCTCATTTTAAACAATAAGGTAAAAAGAATAGATAGTATGTATTAATGTGTTTCTCCAATCTCTTTTTAAATAGTGATTTATTTATTCAGGTGAGACAAATATTCTATACAAGAGCTAAAATTATTGCCTATATAAGAAGATTTTTAGATAATCTTGGCTTTTTGGAAATTGAAACGCCAATGATGAATATGATCGCAGGGGGTGCAACTGCGAAACCTTTTATAACTCATCATAATGATTTGAATATGGACTTGTATATGAGAATCGCACCAGAACTGTATCACAAGATGTTGGTAGTTGGTGGTTTGGACAGAGTTTATGAGATTGGTAGACAATTCAGAAATGAAGGTATTGATCTCACCCATAATCCTGAATTTACCACTTGTGAATTTTATATGGCATATGCAGATTACCATGATTTAATGGAGATCACTGAGAGTTTGCTTTCTGGCATGGTAAAGAGTGTTCATGGAACTTTCAAGGTAATTTTTTTATGCCTATCTGTATTTCTATACATGAATTATTTTAGTCTACCATTTAAACATTACATGAGTATTTCCTGCCTTAGGTAAAATACCATCCTGATGGACCAGAGGGTGAAGAAGTAGAAATTGATTTTTCTCCACCATTTGCCAGAGTACCCATGATCGCTACTCTTGAAAAAGAATTAAATGTGAAGCTTCCACCAGCAGATAAACTTGATACACCTGAAGCCAATGCTATACTTAGCAAGCTTTGTGAAAAGCATGAGGTATCTTAAATACTGTCTGTAGTTAACGCGAGTAGTACACATTTAAATAAAACACTCTCACAATTCTCAAACAAGTTTACCTATAACATATCGCGTTTTAAACCGTTAAAGTGTTTTATTTAAAATGAGGTATCTTTCTAATTTTGATATGATATAAAATCCTAACAGAGGCAAAACATTTTAACATGTCTATGGGTTCATTAAGGGAATATGAGACGGAGCCAGCATAATAATTATCGTCAGTTAGGTAGGGCACACTACTTGTTGGTTAAAAATGTCTGACCGATAATATGGGAATGCAGATAACCTACTTCATAACTACAATGATTTCCAAATTACCATTATAAATAAAGTATTATGAGTATACTTGAAACGGAGAAACTTATTTATGAAAATTATTTTCCTTTTTTATTTTATACTATCTGGTACATATTTGTACCCTTTACAGATTGAATGCCCTCCACCAAGGACAACAGCTAGATTGTTAGACAAATTAGTTGGAGAATTTCTTGAAGAAAAATGCATTAATCCAACATTTATTTTGGATCACCCTCAAATCATGAGTCCCCTATCAAAATACCATCGGGATGTACCTGGACTAACTGAGAGGTATTCCATAAATAAATAACATGATTTAAAGTTATTAAAATTTAATAACTTTAAACATAATAATATGTAGGAATAGTGCACAATATGATAAACTTTGCCACTTGTTTATATTGCATTGTTTGATAAAATAAAGGGAATTTTATTCTTAATGCATACTTATTACACCAATTTCAGATTTGAATTGTTTGTAATGAAAAAAGAAATATGTAATGCATATACTGAGTTGAATGATCCAGTTACCCAAAGAGAGAGATTTGAACAGCAAGCGAAGGATCGTGCTGCTGGTGATGATGAAACTCCTCCTACTGATGAAGCATTTTGTACAGCACTAGAGTATGGTCTTCCACCAACTGGTGGTTGGGGGCTAGGTGTTGACCGTCTCACTATGTTTTTAACAGATTCAAATAACATTAAGGTATAAAACATATTTCAGTTATTTCCCTCACTGAAACATAAGAGGCTTTTTATAATAAGTTATAAATGTGGTTTGTTCCTAAATTAATTAGTTAATGCAAAGCAGAAATGGTACATTGTCTAGAAGATTTTTTAAGTTACAGATAAATTTCATTGTTGTTTTCAGGAGGTACTATTGTTCCCAGCAATGAAACCAGATGATCCTAACAAACATAATACAGATGATGGTGCACCAGATCAAAATGTAACTCAGAATGGTGCATAAATTTTTCTGTAACACTTAAGTGTGTCACTTTTGTTTGGAATGTTGTAATAATTCTCAAATAAACAATTTGTCATGAAGACTTTTATTAATGTACATAAAACATGATTTTCCAGAAGTCAACAAAGGTTCTTATTAAGCTCTTGTTTAGGTCTTAAAGTATAGGGTAACATATACTTAAAGTTACTTACACTTGTAAATGCATATTTAGTAGACAAATATTGCACAAATGGTAAATTGATAAAAAACTTTCTTTGCCCGCAACTTCATCCTCTTGGAAATTATTGTGAGCAACATAATCATGCATTATTTGCAAAAAAAACTCCACATCATTTTATTAAACAACAATTGTTTTCACTCACGACTCTGTATTTTATTTAATCAAGCCTCATTGTCTGTCGATAAGGAAGGTACAAGATCACACTCATGCGTAAAAGGCTGAGTAGAATTGTAGTGTTCACCTAAGCTATACATGTGACGGTGATAGGTAATAATCAATGGTGGGCCACTATAATGACTGCCTTGTTCAATTGCTTCTGGGCCTGTTGCTTGTATAACAAGAATTGGGCATTTAAAGTAATCTGACAGAGCTCTTATTTCTAGCTGTCCACCCCATACTCTTGTATTACAAATTTTTTCACAGTATTCATCAAATTCCACATCAGTAAGCATTTCAGAAGTATCTGGATTTGTCAGAAATGGTATAAAATCATCCTTATTGGTCCTTATATGACAAGAAACTTTTTTTCTAAGCTCCTCTGTAGAAATTACTGTATTTCTCTTAGAATGTAATTGGTGTGCAATTGCTTTATAAAGACAATCTCCATCAGATGTGATGGAGACAATTTGAAGATTCCTCGGTTTTAATCTTTTTAATATCTCTTGTTTTTCAATATTTCTAGGACCGTAACGATTTTCTTTTTCTTGTATCTTAATTTGCTCTTGTATTTCTCGTTCTTCTTGGATTTTTTTATTTCGTCGCCTTTTAGCTTTTGATATTTTAGTTGTTACATCTTCCTTGTTCAGTGCAGAGTTGTCTTCTTCGATACAAACGACACCCTCATTAATGGATAGCCTTTGACTTTCTTCTAATTCTTTGATATGGCATGCTTCTAATTCTGCCTCTAAACGAGCAATTTCATTCGTAATTTCTTTCTTCTTCGACTTATTATTTTTAGCAACTTTTTTTAAGCTTTGTATTTTAGCTTGCAACTCTTTTCTTTCTTTTTTTTGCCGGCATTCTAATGACAATATATTGTTCACATCATCAGTAATATTCTCCATGGTAAAAACTTTGTGATAGAAAATCTCTAAGTAAGTTTCATGAGTTTAAAGAACTATTGTATTGTCCAATTATTATCCAATATGATAATATTGGTAAATACTTCAAACCCAGTAAGAATTACTTTAATATGAAATATCCCACAATACAGCTAAAATCCTTTGTAAGTCCATTGCTATAGTCATTTGAGCAAAGAAAATCAAAAATATCATTTGTGATTTGACTGACTGCTCCATAGATAACGAATTAACGAACGATTTAATACCTATTGTGTACTGTATTTATAGATATAGAAAACTTAAAGGTTTTGGCACATGAGTATACTAACCACGTTGCCATGATACATTTCGATTTGAAATTTTATAATCATATAATAAAATAACAACTATGTGATGCAATTACACATTAATTGTATATTTATATCAATATATTTTCTTTTTATATTGGCTATCGAATCTGATTTTGTACAACGAAAAAAATTAAAAGTCTTTAGTTAAAAATACCACTTCTTAATGGAAAACAAACTTTTATAAAAGAAAACAATGATTGAACTTAAACGCGAAAACGATTTTAATAGTATGTATTATTTATTAAAAAAAAAATTATTTATCTTTGCTTTCCTTACGTCATCTGTGGTATTTGCGATTTCGCAATATTTAATCTGTAATTTGTAAAATTTAGAATTTATCAATTTACTGTGCAGTTTACACATAGGAAGGTTTACAATTTTATAATACTGCATAAAGCATCAAAAATTCTTAATTTGTTTAGATAACTGTATTGCATGATCACTGTATTAGTTTCAACATACACCTTGAATTAATTGTTAGCGTGTATAATAAGATTTTGTTTATTGAGAAACTAATATAATAGGGTAGACCGTGTTGAAATGAATCCATGTTCGATAGCTACACCTCAGCAGGATACTGAAGGCGATGGAAGATGGAACAGCATTGTAAGTTAACATTAAAAGCAGCTATTTAAGTTCGCAAAATTATTCTTGTATGTTTACACGTACATTATTACTTGTATATTTTAGCACAACAGATTTCTTTCTGATGCGAAAGGAAAAGATGCTGATGTGATCTTTATAGGTGATTCTATATTGCAAGCCTTAGAACATACTGAAGTTTGGAACCAATGGTTTGCTCCATTACACTGCCTTAATTTTAGTATCCATAGGGACCAAACACAAAATGTGCTCTGGCGTATAAGGAATGGAGAGCTGGACCATGTCGACCCTAAAGTAAGTAACTACCGTAACATCCTAATTATTTGACTCTGGTGAAGTGCTCATGGTACCTTTTTTTTATAGGTAATTGTCTTGCACGTAGGTACTAACAACGTAGAACATACAGCAGAACAGATATGTGATGGAATCCTAGAAATTATACATACAATTCAAGAGAAACATCCCAATGTTTATGTTGTTATACCTGTAAGTATTGCGATTTTGAGAGGAGGATATTTTTAATTAAACTTATTAAGTTCTTATTTAATTCATTTTCAGAGCCTCCTTCCTCGGGGACAACATCCTAATTTATTAAGAGAAAAAAATTTAAAAATTAATCAGTTACTTAGAGAAAAAGTTGCAAATATGAAAAAAGTAGAAATGGTATTTATTGATAAAGGTTTTATCCAAAGTGATGGAACAATAAGCCACCATGATATGCATGATTATCTAATACCTAGCAATGCTGCATGTAGGAAAGCATTTGAACCTGTTCATGATATTTTACATCAGATTCTGTCAGAAGGAGAACCCGAAAAGGATTTAACACCTTCTGAATGAGAAAAGATAATTTTTCAAATCAGCAATGGTATCGCAATAGCTTCTTAGTACTTATTTATGTCTAGCTTTTTTAATATAGAGTTAAGTGTTAGTTAATTAATTTATTTCTCAATTTTACATTCCTATGTATTAAATCTATTGGCTGTGCAATCTTTTGAATTGTATGTTATTTAGGCAAAATTATAAGCACTGTTTTAATGTAGTAATCAAAAAAGCTAAGGTATATGTATTTGTTTATCCTTTTTACATTTTTAAAGGATGTTTACAATTACAAGATTGATATGAAAAATTTTGCTATTATTAGCTGCAAATTATCTTTAATTTAAAAGACTGGAGATCATACAAAAATATTATTTGAATGATGGTATGTAGTTTTTTATAAACATTATTTGTTAATTTCAACAAAAGTAGTAACATTTTTTCAATTGTCTAACATAAGATGTAAAAATAATTTATTCTTTATCTCACAGGGTACATTGTACTTAATATATTTAATCATATGCGCAAAGAAACTGTTCACCCTCTTGTTAGCCACTATTAATTATATTTAGGTTATCTGATTCAATTTGACTTTCTTAAGACTAACCAAAGAGTGAAATTTACCAAAGCTTCATGGTGAAATTATTCAAAAAGAATACTCCGTATAGCATTTATTTTATTTTTTAAATATGATTGATTTTGTAAACTTATAAAAAAAAATGTATGAACAGAAAAAGGTAATAATATATCTATAACTTTATGTACTTTTAAGAATAGTTAATAAGGTACAGCCGAAGTTGCCAAATTGCTTGAATCTCATGAGAAGTGAATATTTATTTGCATATAGCTTGAAAGTAAAAATGCAATTAATTTCCAATTCTGTTTTATTATAGTAATAGCTATAGGTGTAATGAATAACAAAGAAATGTTATTAGCCCCAATTTATAATGACTGCACATAAAAGGAATCTAATAAGGCTTGCCATTCCAGTAGGAGTATTTATTCCCTTCAAGATATTAAATCTTTTAAGAAAATAGCTTCAAAAGCCCCTTAACCTGGGGGCTAGTTTCAGTATTAATTTCAATGATCCATGTTTATTTATAGAGAAGTAATTAAGCAGAACTCAGTAGCCTGCCTATTGTGATCACAGGACAACCCAGGTCCTTGCATGCTAGAGTGTACTTAGGCAGTCAAGTAAACTTTAAGTTTCGTAAAATTAATGTGACTAGAGAAGTTTTAACTAATTTCCTTTAAACAGAACTCCTTAGTAACTAGTACTTGTTCAGAAGTCTCTTAAAATATAAATTAAATGGTAATGTGGGATTCCTTTGCTGTAGAGAAAGTTCAAAAATATTGAAGTGATTTGTCTGAAGTTTTGTTAGATACCTTTCAACAGGTATTGCTGGTAAGAATATTTGGTTAGCAATTTTGGGTATTTTTATACTCCTTGCCTGGAAAACACATTTAATTAAATCATAATCAGGTCAAAGAAATACAAATATAGATCCTATATTTTATATTGACTTTTTTGGCTCTGACCCATGGACACATTTCATTCTCTTATCAATTGAGCTACCGTGGCCCACACATAATTGTCAAATTTGTTAGTTTCATTTATAAATCATCTTGCTATGTAAAGCTATCATGTAATATTTCAAGCATTAAAGAAATCTTTAAGAAGACATACTATTTATTAAGTTGCTGCAGTACGCACCTTTTGTAAATGACTGTTAGCTCTGCTCGCTACTTCAAAAACAACATTCCTCATATTTTCACAATCTATGCCCCTCAAAATTGATTCTTGACTTACTTTATTCTTCATTAAAACATCCATTGGTAATGACACCATTTTATGGTGATTGGATACATGAATAGATCTGCAACCCAAAAATAAATAGATAAAACACATATTTGAAAATATATCATAAATTTATGAGTCCAATTTACAATCGATTTTCAATTTACATGTATTTTCTAGTTAGTCTGATAACTCACCTCAATATATTTGTTATTCCCTGTGCTTTACCTAAATGTGAAGCAGCATGATCTGCATGTACATCAGTCACAGAAGCTATACATAGTAGAAGATAGTAAATTGAAGAAACTGAATTTTCAGAATGTGACTCAATATCTTCTAAAGTCCTAAAGAACTTTGTTTTTAACATATTTCTTCTAGAGGTAATTAATCTTTCCAAGTACATCTGAGGTAGTTTATATGTTTTGCAGACCTACAACCAAATAACACTTTTTTTTCTTTTGGGACATAGTAATGAAGAATGTCAACATTAGCTACCTGGAAGGTGGTTTTAAGAAGTGATTTGATCAATAATAAAATTAAATAAAGTAAACCTTGTATGTAGAACTATGACAAGCAGGATTGTTACATATTACATTGAAAATAAAGATTTGGTTTAAAATTATTATTCTTTTAACCAATATCCATAATACAAACAACTTACTTTAAACAATTCTTGAGTGACAGGATTTGCTGGTATAGAAGACAGATCTACAGATTTTTTATAAATAGTACTTAAAGAGTCTTGCCAAAACTGTAATCTCATGTTTGCAATCTGAGTATCCATTGTTTGATCTTGCACTCTTGCTATTTCAACATTAAAAGCTCTGAGCACTAGAGCTGGATTTCGAATAGATCTTGTCATAAGGAGTGTTGCTAAATAGTTTTCATAATCATGCTGCCTATCTAAAAAAATTTGAATACAAAGTATCAAATTTGATTATTCTGATATTATTGTCAAATATAATTTTTGAACTGATCTATATACCTTACAATGTCGATACAATAATTTATTGGTTCGTGTTGTCCATTTGCGTAGGATTTCATTTGCATTGTAGCTGCTGAACTTCTGCAGATTTGTTTGATATTTTTAACTTGGAACATGTTATTTTAATTAGGTGACTGAAACCTTATTTAAAATTGATTAGTATGACTCTAAACAATCAATTCAATAACCGTTTTAATACAATATACGACTAAAAACTTTCTACAACGTAATTTTGATTTTCATAGATCAAGTAATCAAGTTGACACTGAGCAAGTAAGTCTCGAGGGCACTTTGAGGGAAATTGAAAAATATAATTTTTTTTATCAGAATCAAGAAGAAGACGAAGATAAAATTTTTATCTTTGTCATTTTAGGTCACTTGAAACCACAGATAATGTTACATTGCCAGATTGTGTAAAATATTTATTCAAGTGTAATTTAAAATACATATTTTTATCACCGCGGTTTTTTTTATATCAGTGGTTGAAAATAAAAAAACAACAATAATTCATTTTATCACGCCTTGACGTTCATCCTATGGAATCCAATTAGAATGGAAAACCATTACAAACTAAGAAGAAGAAGTATGTTTTGTATAGTCCCGTTATAAGTGTAACAAGCAGTTTTAAATTGATCAATAGATTTTTATATATATATTTATAGTACTACCGCTGCTACTATTTTTCTCAAATATTATTTAGCCGGTCAGTCTTAAATTAAAATTCACTTTTTTAATTAGAAAATTGTTTCTAATTAAATTCATATTGATGAACAATGTAATACTTATTTCCTTATCAACGACATTTTAATTTATAATTTATTTATTATAGATAAAGAAGGTTAAATACTGTCGGTAGTTAACGCGTAAATTTAAATAAAACACTTGAACGATTTAAAACACGATATATATTAGATGCTTTTGGATGCTATACGTATATCGCGTTTTAAAACGTTAAAGTTATTTTAATAATAGAGGTTCCTAGATGGGTTCATAAACATTTGATGATTAGTATCAAGAAATATATTTAAAATATTTGTTTGATAATATTTTTAATGAAAGGGGAAGACAGACAATCTTCTTGTTGATTTTCTTCTTGTTTTCTTGATGGAAGGTGAAATACACAAGCATCTAAAGAAGATGCGCTGTCGACCCATTATGGTTTTTGATAATTAAACGAGATCTTTCATTTTCTGAAGTTAGTTAAACAAAAAAACATTTTATTATTTTTAATAACATTATTGTTTCGTCATAACAATATACAAAGTGGATTAAATAACCATACAGCTAATTCATAACACTTCAATATTATGTGGAACGGTTATATCGTCATTAGCCACTTCTTTACGTTTCTCGCCATAGTCAATGTGCTCCTTACAAAATATTATAATCCTTTGGCAAGCTTCCCGTAAATATGCTTCAGGTACTGTTAAAACAATTCTCATGTAGTTCGGGTACTCGAAACACTGAAATAATTTCCTCCATATAAATAAACAATATATCAAAGGTCGTCATAATAATAGGCTATGAATGGACCTTGATTAAACAAGAATAAACCTTGTGGTAAATAAATTATTATAAATTTAGATGAATACATTTTATAAATCAGCATGGCTTGTCTATAATGCGACTTACTTTTCCCGGTAAGCAGAAAACTGATTGTTCTTTTACAAGGCATTCAACAAATTGAAATTCGTTCTTAATACTGGGAAATAACGCCATTTTTATTCCGATCATCATATACATAGCTCCCTGTGGCATAATGGGTCGCAGGCCGGGAGCCCTTCGTAATTCTTCATATGCAAGTTTCGCCTGACTCTGAAAACCCCGATATAACTTTAGACTGTTAATCTAGGATTAAATTTAATTTAACAAAAGGTCTTGCTTCTAATTCCATATATAGTGAACACATATATACAATACTAGCTGCGCCCGCGACATCGTTCGCGTGGAATAGTGACTTGGGGTAGAATTTTTAATTATTTAGGCTTTGTATTAAATTATGTAATTGCGCATTTATCGCAGCCAATCTATGTTGTAAGTGCTACTTTGCCGCAACACTCTCACCTCACAGCACTCCTACTCTAACTCCCGCTCTCACTCTCACTCCCACTTTAAGTCCCACTCCCACTATATAGGTAATATTTTAGACTTCTCTAGACTACTCCTCCTTAATTAAACCTTTATGTGCAGTAACTTAAATTTTAAACATTGCTTTGCCAATTCACGCACTGCTCTTTGACTGTTTTGACGTTCATCAGCTAACATAGGTTATGTCATTGTAAATAGTTATTTACCATACGTTTAAATAATACGTTCTTTAAATAAATAATTATTAGTTAGTTTCCATTTAGTTATTCGTTAAGTAAAGTTGGAGCATATGGGGTATTTTTTGATCTTACCTCGATAAATAGTATCACTTCATCAAAAAAACTTTGCGGCGTGTATTTGAGAATGGATGGTAAAGCTCTTTGAACTAATGCGCTGGGTCCAAGTATTCTCGAAGCTAAATTATTAAGACCATTGCGAATATCTTTTCCAAATATATTGTGACGATCGTGAACGATCACCCAACCCATGCGCCAGCCAGGCACTAAAAATCTTTTTGTTAGCCCACTGCAAGTTAATACAGGAACGTCTTCTGATAAAGAAGATATGGCATGGAACTTGTGACCCGAAAAGACGAAATGTTCGTAGATTTCATCAGCTATTATCGGTACGTGGTTTCTAGAAGCCACGTCCACTATTTCACAAAGATGTTGTTTATCGTAAACTGACCCACATGGATTTGAGGGATTTATTACAATAATGGCAGCGGTATCATCGTCGATTTGATTCTCTAAATCATCTATATCTACTTTCCACTGTTCATCTGGCTGTAAAAATACAACATCAAATTGTTGAATACAAGTATCATAATTTAAAAGGACTCCGAAGAATACGACGTAAATAGTGGGTATGCAAATCAAGCTCCACAATAAACTGGAAACTTGTTATGCTTCTAGAAACTTGATTAGCACTCGCAAGCTCGATATCGACTTAAAAATTAATTTGATTATTTTTATGTTTTAGATGTTGTTAATAAGGCTTATGCGCCATTTCCAAAAAGAAATCTTGTTTTACTAGTTATCTATGATACTAAAATCTACGTTTTTGCCTGTACAAAACCAGGTCTGAAGGCCAAATTTTATGATCTTTGGGAAGAATTTCATGAATTTATTACATAAATAGGAGTTATAATTTTCAATAATATTTTTATAAGTATATTTATCCGTAAGAGGTCACAAAACGATATTGATATATACAACTCGGATAATGCATACTTACCAATAAACTATAGTATTTAATACGTATTCCTAGCCCCACCGCCAGGGTCTGATAGATCATGAAACCTGGGCGTGGTACAAGGATGTTTTGTCCAGGATCTGCGAGAGCGGTGATCGCGAGTTCGATCGCATGTGAAGTACCGCTTGCGAGAACAACATCGTCTGCTGTCACTTCCCCTTGATGAGCGCTATACTCTGCCACTGCTTGCCTTGCTTCCTGTTGTCCTTTCGCAGGAGCGTAACCCCGGCTCGCATGTGATTCGACACTTTCTCTGACAGCTGCTAGCACTTGGTCTGGTGGGTTAAGATTCCCAAACGTGGTGGGATCCCCTAATGCAAATTAATAAACCAATTATTGTTATATTTAGAAATACTTAAAAAATAAATATACATATTATGGATGGACTACATTTGATTCAATTTGAAAAATCATCGCTTTACATGAGTTTGGCAAGAATCAATTACGCAGTAGAACGTTTCTGTGGTTGTAAGTTAAAACGAAGTATACATTTTGTTAATTTGTAAACTAAATAATTTTGCACGATATAACAATGGTAATTTTATTTTCGTACCGATAGAAAGAGCAATCAAATCCTTTTGAGGATTTGGCTCCACCCGAAGATTCTCGACGATACTCCTTATAGTGTTGTGGGTGTTCTGAGCTAATGTGGAAGCGCGTACGTCCCACTCCTTTCTTCCAAGCGGTCTTCGTGACATGGGCACCAAAATTATTGATTGTTGAAAACTGCGGCAACACACAAATTAAGAATAGAGCCTACCTCTCGATACACCGCACTTTTGTATCAAAACGTTTGACGATCACCAGTTCCCGAGTCGTGAAACTGGTTTCATTATGTATATGAGATGACGACAGAGCAAGTATAAAATATTCCACCCTTCAATATTGTGATAATTAACTATAATACCTAAGAAACTTACTGTATCACAAAATTGTTGATATAAAAACAACAGACTAATTAAAAACTTTAACACTGATGACATTCAAGAATTATTACGAATATATTTCTTACAATCAACTATAGGTATATATATATAGTTAGGAAACACTTCGGTATATCATTTTAGCACATTTTTGAACACTTGAACTAATATTAAAAGAATACTAATTAAGTTGTAAAATGTCAATTTACAAAACATTGTTACTGTGTTTGTGTCAATATTATTAATATATATTTTGATGTAGGGTCTAAGAGAAGTCAGTAAATTGTGTTAAACATGTTAATTTAGAATAATATCCAAAAGGTCAATTTGAATAATTTATCCGGGGGATAATTATTTCTTGTCGAACGGAAATTAACAAAATTACTTAATTTACTTTTTTAAAAACTTGCCACGTCATAATGCAAACAATTGTATTGTAAAGTAGAGTCTTTCGAATTAAACTAGAAAATACAATTCGTCTTTTAACAATTTAAGCAATCCATATCTGGTTATGATCATATGTTTATAGCTCAAAATGTAGGTTGAACTATGCTTTCTCGGCTTGTTTACTTTTATTCTGTGAAAACAGTAAATATAAAGCGAAATTGAAGGTTTTTTTCTCTATTTGTTTAGACATAAATTAAGTGATAACACACGTCAACCATATTCGATGTATTTACTATTACATATATTATAGTAATATAATCTAGAAAAATATACCGTATAAACAGGTGTTTAGAAACTCGTATTTTACACAAAATTATTAAAACCTTAGTATATTGTTTATATAATCTAGCTTTGTCAACCACTTCGTATGTTTATTTGTTTTTGCAAACTTTATATCTATAAATTAAAGCTGTTACCCATGACGTCCGCGTCTATCGCGTCCCATGATTCTTGCAACTTAACCTCAAAAGAAAGACATGTAGCTCAGATCTTTTTCAGTATTTTAAAGTAAATTATTCTTACATATGTTTTGGTATCTTGAACCGTTATCGCAGCGCACGCCTGGAAAACCCACGAAGAGAATAAGAATAATTTCTCCCCGTTATATTCAGATTTCCCGCCGTTTCTTCGCTTCTATTAGTCACATGCTCTAGCCAAGACAAAAATATTTTTTTCAGTTCGAACCGGTAGTTTCTGAGATTAGCACTTGAAACAGACAAACAAACACTTCTGCTCTATATATTAGTTCAGATTAATCGGGGATATTCATCTCAATCCGTGTTGTGATACCTATTTAAGCAGGAGAGTAGGGCATAACAGAGAGAACGAGGGAAAATAACAAAACAATTATCAATTAGTATTTTTTATTTAAATTGTTGAAAACATTTATAAAATAATTCTTGAGCGTCATCGCGTCCCTACCCAAGGCTAGTTTAATATACTTGGTCCAGGGTGCATGTAATGTATTTAAAATAAAGTGGTAATACTAAAATTTTTTGGACACACTCTAATTTTAATTTTAATTGGCTTTATAAGTACTTAGGTCGAGTAATACAAACATAGAGATGTACAAAGTATCTGGAATACAAGATGAAAGTAAGTAAGATACTTGTCAATTAAGTATTTCATATACCGGATACAAAATATTTTTAGATTTTACCTAGTACATAAAATACTAAATAGGTGTCTTCGAAATATTTCTTAAAATACAAATACTTTTGTCAGAAAACAAGTTTATTTATTGATTTTAAGTGTGACGTTTTGAGGTAAAAAATATATATATAACTAGTTAAAATAAAACACTTTACTTTTAACTACGGACCTAAGTTTTGGTCGTCGAGCTGTAGTTAAAAAATCATTTGTAACAAGTTTAACTACTGTATTACGTCTTATAAGCCGTTAAGGTGTTCCTCTAACATTTTATCACTTATTTTCCTTCGGAAAACCATACCCCCAAAAGAAAAGACATCCACATCCACAGGGCAAGGTGAACACTGAACCAGACAAATAAAAACTTATCACGAACACGTTGGTCTAATGGTCCAACCTATGGCTAGTGATCAATGGATCGGTGGTTCGATCACCACCGAGTCCAACATGTTTCTAATTTTTCAATTTATATTTTTCTGGAAGATGATGGACTTCGTCTGGAAACCGGGATATTAAATGGGTTGTATGAATATAGAAATTCCATTCGGGGCACCACCATCCACAGATGAGAAAGCCGTGAAGCTTAATCACGTTTCGATTTGGGTTTGTTGATTTCCTAGTATCCAAAGTCAAGAAAAGGGTTGACAGCGCATCTTCCTTAGAAGCTATAGGCAGGGCTATATCACCTACCATCAAGTGACCCCATGCCATGTCTGTCCTCCTCTAATTTTAAGAAAAAAATAATTTAGTCAGAAACATCAGTAATGCATAAATTCGAAAAAAAATTTGTTTGATGTTATTCTAACATAAATTGCGTCATACATATATGTATATTTCTGTGATGTTGGACTGATGTTCAATTTTACGCAATAATTTTATAAATTTCGAATAATATAACTAAAAGTATTTTGTTAGACTTTTTCTAATGCCTTCAAATCTTTCTAAATGTGTTCTATATAACTTGTGAGAAATATCAAAGTTTTCAAATATCTATAAAATACTAACATAAAAATCAAAATGTATGTAACTGTATAAATGCTCTTTGCTAAATCTTGTATGATGCTTGAAGATGCATCCTTAAAAATTATTTTAAAGTGTCCCCTGTCCCTATCTTGTATCTGTATTTCAACTACTTGAATCTTAGATACATCACATATTTGCATAAACTTCGCGATCGTCGGGTAAAAGAGACAAAGATGCAAACTCAATTAAATATGGTAGATCAAATTGAAGAACTCTTATTGCCCAAAAATATTAAAGTTGCCAAAATTATCGTGATAATTATTACTGTCGTTTCATTCCTTATTAACCTCGCCAATTTAGCTAATTAGGTGAACGTGCTCTTTTATCACAAAAAAGTAATTGGTACTTATTTTTAGCAATAATATTAAATGCCTATTGTGAAACTTTTGTAGAACTAATTGACTCACTTACTAAAATAGGTAATTGAAAGAAAAAAATCCATCTAGGTATAATGCTTAGCTTGAGGACAAGAAACAAGCCAACATCTTAATCCACAAAACGCTGTAGATAAATTTGCAATCATTTTAAATGATTGCAAATTTATCCTAATTATGCGACAAGAATAAACAAGTCACCGACGCACGGTGGGGTATTTGTAACAAAAAGCTGGCCAAAAGTCGAAATCAAAATTTGTACCCAATTAGTAAATGAACCTTCATTTCTCATTGTCGAATAGTTATGACGTCACGCCCCGATCACCTTACAAGTGTCATTCAATTTTGTTTGCCCCTCCGACAATCGGAATTTAGTCGTTGTTCCTATCGCACGTCTTTGTTCTCGTCGCTTGTAAAAACGGAGTTTTATTAACCGCTATTGTAAGATTTCTGAGAAGTGAAGTGAAGTTTTTTATAATGGATCTTGAAGATCGAGGTATGTACTGTACTTTAAAACTTATATTCATTTGTATATCATTCATATAAATATTTTTTTTAATTTTATTAGCAAACATTAAACTTAGCATAAATTATAGTTTTATTTTTCCTTTTTTAGTGTTTTAGTTATAAAGTTCGGATAGGTTCGGTCAAAAATGATAGCACAAATATTAGCCTATCTTATGTACTATCATTTAAACCAAAAACATAATCCGCCAACATCCGCCTTTTCGAAATATAGTTCTTTATATGAAACAGTAATTTAGGTACTAAATTTAAAATATTTTTTGTCTTCATAGGATTTGAAGAAACTGTCCGGGAGAAAAGTAGGACAGATCTCTACAACTATATAAAGCAAAGTTCTGGACGATTACTTGATGACAAGTTCGCATACATGAAGGATTGTGTCATTAGGGAAACTAATTGTCCAACTGAAAAAATAAGTAGTCTCAAAAAGGAATTGAAACTGTTCAAATGGCAGTTCAGACACGGATGGTATCCCATGACTCCTACACTCCACAAATTGTTGGTTCATGGACCTACAATAATAAAACATGCCATAATCCCTATAGGCCAGCTCTCTGAAGAAGCGGCAGAAGCGAGAAACAAACACTTTCGGCAATACCGTACTGATTTTGCTAGAAAGTTTTCAAAAATATCTTGCAATGTGGATGTACTAAATAGGCTTTTATTGAGTTCAGACCCATTGTTATCGTGTACGCGATCAAGATTTATGAAGAATAAGAAGCCATTCACAAAAGAAGCATTGGAATTTCTTATACCAGAAAGTGATGATTCTGAAGATACAGGAGCACAATATACGACAACGATAGATGATTAGTTATATATCTGATGATAATGAATTTGACTAATATAGTATTTTGATATATAAAATCTATTGTTTTAATACCCTCTACCCAGTAACATTTTACTTTATAATTTATTCTTAGATAATATTAAAGGTACGCTAAAATTATCAATTTTAACGTACCTGAGGGCAGTATAGTAATCGCCATTGAGCAAAAATAGATAAAATATGACCAATTTATCAGTTTAGGTAGTTAGACCATAAGAAATAGTTTTGGCCAGCTTTTTGTTACAAATACCCCACCGTGCGACGGGCAAATATTTTTGTTTACAATACCTATGACTCATTATAAAATGCATCTGTTTACGTAAACAAGCAAATTATGTTACTACAGTAGTAAATTATTTAACTTTATTTATTAAATATATTATAATTTAGTTTTTAATCAAAGAATGTATCTACTTTGGTCGCAACGTGATGCTTATTCCGAGATAAGTCGGTGACATTATTGCAATTTCATAAAAAGTAAAGTATATACTAGCAGTAAATAGGCGAGTTGATCGCATTGAAGTCCTGACGTACTTTCGTAGTATTTAGGCACTAGCTTATATGCTAATTTAATATATACTAATATAGCTAAATAGTTAAAGAAACACATTCGTTTAAAGTTTATTCATCACACTTTGAAGTAAAAGACGATGTGTGATACAGATTTTTTTTAATTCACACAGTTGAGACTTTTTATCATAGTAGGTTAGTTACTCCTAGGTTTTCATAATTTGAAGTTTGTAATACTATTTCGAATGGAAATACTAAATCATCATTGAGCACATTATAATATTCGCTGTGTATGGATCACATCGGAGATTTGTTATGTAATAATCTGTGATCGAGATCCACATTTGGCATCTGTCATGCTTATGTCAAAAAGTAGCGATCAAAATCTATGTGCTCTTTAATATAATAATTAATAAGTATCAAACATCTAAGTCGTCGATCGTCGTATTAAGTTTATCTTTTCTGTGCTGTTGATAATAATATTTCTCCGTGTAATAATTGTTATAAGCTTCTATTAAACCATGTCTCAAATTAAATCCAACAAGAAATTAAAATGGTCTCTCGACTTTAATTCTAAGTGAGTACTGCAATTTTTATAATACTCATGTTTTGAAGTTTAATGTATGCTCTATTGGTACGTAAAAACTATTTTGTTATAGGTCACGTTCTCAAACAGCTGAAATCCCTTCTCCTCCCGGGTACAGTCAATCGGCTAATGCAAATTATACAGAATCTTCCAAAGATTCTGATTCACAGCTGCTTCTCATAAAAAAATTGTGGGATGTTGCTTTAGCCCCATTAAAACAAGTCCCTATGAACATGTTTATAATGTATATGGCAGGAAACTCTATTTCGCTTTTCCCGATTATGATGGTTGGAATGCTTATCATTCGACCAACAAAGGCATTATTTTCTACACAAAGTACCTTTCAAATGGTTGAAGGTACTCAAGCAGTTGGCCAGAAGTTTGTGTACATGATTGGAAATGTTGTAAATATACTATTGGCTCTGTATAAGTTCCAAAGTATGGGATTGTTACCAACACATTCCAGTGATTGGCTAGCTTTTGAAGAACCTCTAACAAGAATGGAACATATTGGGGGAGGTTTATCAATGTTATAAATAAAATACCTTATATCTTTTATTTATTGTTAAATAAATTCATACTACACCAGACTTGTATTTACAGTTTATTTCAGGCATCACATCCTCAATCCTTTTTACCACTGATTTCTGCTATTTTCTCTTTTATAAAAGCCTGGGCTTTTTCAAATAATACCTGCGGCGACTCCACTTTTTCTATCTGAAAACGTTATACTGTAGTGATGTCATTTGTAAAATAATGTATCTTCTACCATTCTGTACTTTTTAATAAATAATATTGTTCCTGGTTCATATTCAGAAAAATATATAAAAGAAAAAAAAACAAACCATTTCTTTTTTTCCAGAGCCCTTTCACATTCGCGTGCGGTTTTCTTACAAAACAGAGAAATAAAGTCCTGTATTGAAAATTAAAGATTAGAGATATTTTAAGATAAATGTTAACAAAAGAGGCCATAAAGTTAATTGAACCAGGTACAATATTTTAATAAAAATTGTTTACTACCTAATCATAACAAGTGTACATGCAGACATTAATAAATATGTAAATATTGTTTCATTGTTTTCAACTGGTTTAAATTATTTATGAACAATAAATTACATTTAAGGTTTGGTTTTCGCAAAATCACTTGTTACTTTTCCTCTAGATACACCTGCTGTTTGGACCATGTCTTTTGTTCTGTAGTAGATACATTTTCAAAGATTTTTAACTACAAATGGCCTCCTTTGCTGTTGCTACATTCTGTAATAGCCAGACAAGTGTTTGTGTAGTTTTAATATGTATTTATGCTAACCTGATAACTTTGTGCAACATACACCCCCGTATATACACCACTTCCAAAAATAATCTGAAACCATAAATGTGTCATAATATTGATAATTTAAATGACCTCTTAAAAAAGGAAATAGTTCATAAATGTAATTCTATATTTACAATAACGTATTAAACTTACACTTGTTTTAAATAATGATGTACATACACCCATGCTGACTGAGGTGTATTGCCTAATTCTATTTAGTTATGTTTATCATTTTAATCAATTACAACAAATTTTCAATTCAATAAAACTAATTCATTATAGACTTCTCCTGCCAAACTATGCATATTTGACATTTACAAGAAAATACTCTATATAGCTTATTCCTTTTTCAAATTATCAGATAATTTCAAAATATAGCAATAACTACATATTGTCAATTTATAACAATATAATAAAAATAATTTTCTGCATTGTTAGGTTTTTGACAAAAATACACAACTAAAATTTAAAAAAGTGCTACATATACAAAGTTTTACATATTTCTATCCTACCAAAAATACACCCACACATGTCACAGGAAACATGAAAAAAATATTAGCATATTCATAGGATGGGTGTCACTATTTTTTCATGTAGTGAACAAATATTTCAAATTTTAATATTTAGTAGTAATAAGTGAAGTGTAACTTGGAATTCATATTAAAATGAATAAGGTAACACTCGATTACAGTATATTTACTGTAATAAAATTAACATAAGAAATAGTTTAACTCCCGAAACAACTTACCAGTGCTTTGAGCATTTTGTTCATATGATATTCCCAATCGCGGGTTATTTAATAGCCCTTGAGGTGAACCTAGGGAAAAAAATCAGGTGAATGAAGGAACGCTTGTGGATTGGATATTTGGAAAAAAATATTGAAACATATCTTTCAAACTATACATTATTTACCTATATTGAGTGTTTTTTTAACAGGTGAATGTTAAGTGTAAGTATAAGTAATAAAAATATTGATAATTGATAGTGCAATGACGTTAGCAATGTCAAGCGTCAAACAGCAAATTATAAAAGTCCGAGAACACACGTCAATGTCAAGGCTAATGTTAGTCTGTAGAAACTCATAGAGCTATCTGCGAACCACCTACCTATAGTACTTTCTTGTTTTCCCTTCGCATCTGGTTGCCTGGGAGAGATCGCTGTTTAGCAATAAGGCCGCCCCTTATTTATAAGCTAGTTCATAAGTTTTTTATTCATGTTTTTTTTTTATTGTGGTGTTTGTAAATAATAAAGTTATATAAATAAATAAAAATATTTCTATGAAAGATCATAAATGCATGTAAGTCTGTATAATGTAAGGGCGGTTTATAGGCCATTTTAGCAAACTCATTTTTATTATAATATATTTAGAATTTTAGTTTTCGTGCTTGATTTAAATGATATTGATTTCATAATTAATGGGAAAGTGGATTACACTATATAACACCAACACGAAACCTCAAATGGAAAAACCTTAATGCAAGTACCTCAGGAAAACTTGCAGCCAAAATTTAACACACAATAAAAATCCTTAACATCATAATTTAAATAGTTTATTCAGATATTTTAATAGCATAAATGATGCCATTTTAATATCAACGCATTAAATAGTCGCAGACCACTTGATCTCATACAAAATTATTATAATATACTGTATAACATTGTAGTATGCGTAAATTGATCTTATCTTCGACTTGAAACTACATCGTATGTTCTTATGATATACAACCTCTTGTTAATAAATTATTATTATCACATTATTTTATCAATCTAACGATAGACTTCATTGAGCGGTTCATTCATTGTTCGGCACTTCTAAATAAGTATTGAATGGAGTCTTCGTGCAAAGCAATCAGTAGCATGATGATCCCGCCAGTCAGTATACCCAATACAGCGATTACTAAGTTAAGAGGACGACCCATGTTGTTCTCGTTTATTTCAGGAACTAAATCAGCTAATGCTATGTAAAAGAACGTGCCGGCTGTCGCAGCATATATCCATTCGGAGGCCGATTCATGGTCTTCCGCGAGCCATATGCCAATAGCCATACCGATGATACTAAGCACGGAGGAAAGTAAATTATAATACATCGCTCGTTTTATACTCATACCCGAGCGTAGAAGCACTGCAAAGTCTCCGAGTTCATGGGGCAATTCGTGGCAAAACACAGCCAAAGCTGTGGCGAAGCCAGTTACAGGATCCCCACTAAACGCCGCACCAATAGCGAGGCCATCGGTTAGGTTATGCAATCCATCGCCTACTATCACCATGAGTGCTGTTGACGTCATGGGCCGTTCGACTGGCGGATTCGGTGACCCAGGCATTATTGCTCCGAGTTCGATGGACTCTATCTGTTTCGCGGACTCGACTTTCTCCTCTTCGACTGTTTTGACGTGCTCATGAGAGTGAGAATGCCCACCGTTGATCGATTGCATAACGGCTTCAACGGTGTAGAACAGTAGAATTGTTAAAAATGTCACGCTACATTTAAGGACTGTTTCAGTTTCTTCCTGTGGTTCGTTCGGGGAACCGTGGGATTTTAAGGCATGAGGTAGAAGATGAAGCAAGGCGTCACCGCATAGTGTGCCGATGGCGATTGCGATGAGGTAGTGCAGGACGTGACTGAATACGGAGGATTTTATCATTGGCACAATCGCAACTCCCACTAAACCAGTTGCGCTGATGACCAGGATGGCAAGAGTTGCATATATCCAAGCTGAAACAGTTTGAACGAACGATTAGTGGTGCAAACATTTTTAACATTAGGCAAACAAGATTATCATCGTACTTACTCCAAATCCTATCCAATTTCGGTACAGGTGCATCCGTTTTAAAACACGAGCGTTGGTCTAACTGGTATACTAGAGCAGGGCACATCTCCAAAAATGTCTTCGGATTGATAGTAATTATTCCGGGTTCTTTCTCCATTCCGTATACGGTGAGTATCTCTCTTGGTGATAAACATGATTTCTTGAGTATAGATGTAGCTGGAAATAAATTGTTCGGATTAGGTATGACATTAGACTTGGAGTCGAATTTATTTTTGTAACTTACGTCATATACCTATATGCGTTTTTTGTGGAGTTGATGCTCCTCAAGCCGTACTTAAGATTATATTAGACATATAAACTAAGTTTGATTTCTAGGAAACCAAAGAAAAACACTCAAAGTGATATTATTATTTTTTGATTTTACACGTATGTTAAGTATTCATAGATTTGTTAGTTTTTGTTGTGTTGTTTTTCATCGCGATTGTCTAAAATACCTACACGGGATGCCATAATTTCTCAAAAGTAGCTTTCCTTAATTTTGTTTTTGGTAGGCAAGATACTATACTGTTGAAAATTATTTATTTGATGACAAAAACAATAAATGTTATCTATTGGATTTTAAGTTTGTAAATGTTTGCACTATAAATGTTCCTATTTGGTTTTGAGGTCCGGACTGGGCTTGCTCGATGTGATACTAACTCGTGGACCTAGGGTTGTAATAGGATAATCGTCTCTCTTAACTTAAATAACGAATGCTCGAATGTTGCGCATAACCACGTTGTTCCTGCTCCGTGATATGAATAATATTTTTATAATTGGAATGCTTAAGACTATATTGTGCTATTATTATTTATTATCTGTGCCCGCAAAGTAGCCTAGCATCGGATTCCACGAAGACATTAATATAAACAATAATACTATTAAATACCGTCTGTAGTTTACGCGAGTAGTACACATTTAAATAAAACACTTTTACGGTTTTAAACGCGAAATTTTTTTTTTTTTTTTTTTCTATTTTTTTTTTTCCCCGGGTGGCCGTTTCTTTTTTTTTTTTACAACCAGCCGGGTACGGGGCACCGTCGTCGGACACTTTGTTTTTAACCCTTTAAAGTTTTTTATTTAAATAAAACTATTGGTTAATATCGAAAAAACCAGTTCTTTCGTAAAGACGCGAGTAATACAGACATAAAAGTTTAAACATTTAACTAGGTACGTTAGTAAACTTGATTTTTAGTGTATTTTTAATTGTACTGAAATCAAAAAAATATGCTAATATGGTTAAAAATTTATGAAATGTCGTCTTTCCAATAATACTATTTTTTTATAGATGTTCTATGTTCTTCGACATTTTGCGTAAATAGAAAACTATTAGATACTAGATAGCCGAGTTCCAGAAGTATGATATAACGCGAAAGTCCGCTTTCTACCAAACAACCGGACAAGATGCCTACACTGGATTCGAACGGAATACTATATATATATCGATGCAGACGTTTAACTGATTACCTATATTTTTAAAGTTCATATTTAATTCGTGCTAACAAACTAAATAATTAGAAATTCTTATATTCACAGTTATTAATTATATTTACTTAAATTGTACAATAAGAATACGTTATAAAAAAAAACACGTTAACAAAAACAAAAGAAGCCATTAACACATACTTACACTTATATTTACATGCTTTTAACGTGTATTATATTATTGTCGGTCCCTTAGTGACAACGTTTGCTACAGAGTACCTATCCTAAAGATCGGGTCGTAGTTAAAGTAAGTTATAAGTAATTTAACTAGTGTATTTAGCGTTAAAAACCGTTAAAAGTGTTTTATATATATGTGTACTACTCGCGTAAAATACAGGCAATTTCCTAGTCATTACATTAAATGTCATTCTTAGTAATGAACTGAACATTATACGAAAGCCATGCCACGTCTAATATTAAGTTACTTTGGGAAAACCAATAAAACATCGTATTCATTATGTTTCTACATAATTTTAGACAAGGTTATAACCAATTGTTTGAATGACTTTTATCCTTCGCAGATTTGAAAGCTTCCGTCTTTCTAATTGAAATTTGAGATTGAACTTTCAAGGCTAAGTTGACGTTTGTTGATTATTTATAGAAGAAGTTAGACGTTTGACTATTCCTCGCTTCCTACGCGCTCTGGTTCGTTTAACATTCCATTCTAGTAACCCAGCAGAACTGGACTGGCATGGATTGGGCCAGAAATAATCATCTACATCAATTTGTTAAACTACAGGCCGTCAAAATTATTCCAATAATGAATGTCCGTGAAGATTTGTTTAGAACTACAATCGGTGAAATTCAGTGCCCACTTTTATTATTACAATGGTAATCCAGCGGTGGATTCTGCTGCTGAATTGGAATTATGTAAATTTGCAAATTTTACTTTGGGCATGCCGATATAAGATCTACATTAAGTCCTAAAGCCCAAAGTATTACAAAATAGTTTAATCGTTATTAATGTTACAAGCAGATATATCATAATTACCTAATTTTGGTTTCACCATTTTCTTTGAATCGTAGGGAATTTAGAATTATTTTAGCAGTACTTTACGTAGATTTTTTTGAGTAGTAAATATAAGTATGACGTAATCCATTTTAATAAATGAATTGTTACTTACGAGACGTAGGCGATCTCTTATGACGATGCTGCGTGTCGTGCAGTTGTTTGAAGGTGCCATTGATTCTGTGAATGGCGATGTCATGTGGTGAATTGAAAACTCGCCCACCAAGACCCAGGCTGTCTAAAAGGTGTTCAAATCCCTGAAAAGATAAATTTCATTATTATATCTCTGAATGATTAATAGAAAATGTCGGTAACATGAAACTAAATGGAAAAATGTAATCATTCGAAATTGAACTAAAATAATTGACACTAACATTTACTATGACCTGGATGTGGCCAGGCCACAGTATACGCTGAAGCGATGGTAAATGGGTCAAAAAAGTATAAAACTGGGACGGAACCTGACGGCTAAAGGAAAAGAAGACCACCATGAGAATGGGATGATGATATAGTTAAAGCTGCTCGATCCGAGTAAAGAAGAAAATGGATGGCGCTTTCAATCTTTAAAGAAGTTTTTTATAGTATTTCTAAATATTTTTTTAAATTATTGTGTGTAGTCAAAACGTACTTACGGCTTATAAATGTCTTTCTCCGGTCACATTAAGACGCAGATCTGTTTTACGATCACGCGGAATTTTGTCAAGTGATTAACTCTTGTATATAATGTGTATTATATTAAATAAGTATGTGTTGTGTACTGTATGTAATTTACGCGAGTAGTACACATTTAAATAAAACACTTTAACTGTTTAAAACGCGATATATATTACTTAAACTACATAATAAGTATTAAATTGAATGCCTACATTATCTTATAGAATTGTTTTTATAAAGAAAGACGTTAGGTCGTATGAAGTATATAAAAATAAACACAACACTGTCAATACTTGCATTGCTGTCTTTAGTCTTATTACAAAAATACTATGTTTTTCTTTAAGTCACAATATTTTGTATAGTTTGGTATTATATATTCGTTCTCTTATTCACAACAAGAAGATGTATTTCGCTAGGCTCCGACTCAAAATTTCTTACGGTTGTCATGTTGGGAAGAGAGGCATTGTAAGACCTGGAGGTATATCTAACTAACGTAAAATATAAGTGTTATATCTTAAATCATAGTTGCGATACCTAAGATATTGGCACGCTATTCGAAATATAATACGATACAATATGCTAATCTATATAGACGTATATACAATCGAAAACTATAAAAATCATTTACCGGTTTATAATGTCTTTGTCTAATTTAGTTCATTATTTAAATAAAACATTTAAACAGTTAAAACACTATATTAATTTAATTAACTTTGGAGACTATTTGAATTTTCGGAGGCTTTGCAGCAGCCGTGACCACCATGTGAAGTGTTTTATTTAAATGTGTACTACTCGCGAAGACAGTATTTAATTGTTCGTTTAAACAGTGTTTATTGTTATTTATTCGCGTTGTAAACCGTTAGAATGGTTTTTTAAAGATGTATTTCGTTGTTTAAAGATATACGTACTTATAAAGGCATCTTTACAAAAAACACAAACAGTACGATTTTGAAAAGTTTTTAGAGTTATGAAAATCGTATAGAAACTTAATATGTGTGTCGCGAGAAGACAAAAAGACACATTCGTCGTGGTATAAATTGGCCACTTTTCACAGGCCAAAGTCCGTGTCTTCTCTTTCCTGTGTCACAATTTAAAGTCCGTTCATTCTCAAAACGTTGAAATATAAATAAGCGACTTTTTAAGATTTTTTGCTAAGAGAACAATGCAATGATTTCAATCAACAATAATAGAACAGGTGGTCAATTCAAAACCATGCTATATCGACTTTGTTTATACTTGCCTACATGTTGAATAAGACATCAATGATAATTGTGTAACCATTATGTAGCATTGTAAAGAATATAAACATTCTAATCCTACATTTATTTTAATGATTGACTAGGTACTATGCACATTGTAGATTTATATTACACAAAAGCTATATATAAAAAATGTAGTGTAACTAAAGACGAATAAAAATATTTTTTGTATGTGATTCTATTAATGTTTTATACTAATATTATAAAACTGAAGAGCGAGTTTGTTTGTTTCAACGCGCTAATCTTAGGACCTGCTTGGTTCTAATTAAAAAAATATTTTTGTGTTGGATCTAATTGTGGAACGTGGAACTATATAAGACCACGCTACGACCGATAGGAACAAAGAAACAGCAAAAAATGTGGAAAAAAGCGGGAAATCATTCATTTTTGACGAAGTCTGAAAACAGTCCAAGAAACCAAAAAAATATGTATGATAGAATGATTAATTTCTTAAATATTTAACGGTTTAAAACGCGATATATCTTAGTTAATCTTATTTGGAAATCATTTTAACTACAGTCCGACGTTTCGGATGTTTTTACTCGCGTAAACAACAGACAGAATGATTCTTCTTTAAATGATCGAAGAACAACACAACCGCGACAGTATATCTATGGCTTTTAAAATTATCTCCCAAGAACGATAGGACGAGGACGACGTAGTGAGTAGGTGACAGATATAATTTATAAAGCTGAGGACGTTGTTTGCAAAAAATAGTTTTAATGCCCAAAATAACTATTCCAAGCGGACGAAGTCACGGGCACAGGTTGTTTTATCTTATAACATTATTTTCTTTTCCATTCTTTTATCCTAATGTTTATCGTATATAATACGTTTATCCTAATGCACCTCTCTACTATCTATACTGTTCTTGTCGTAAAATACAATGTAAAACTGTTACATTTTTAATTTTATAGGAAATAGGTAAACACACTTTTATCACAGATGTGGATTATGGGATAACTTTTTTATAACGTTAGATAACTTTTATACATGTGTTTACTTGATTCTAATTTAATTGATTAGCAAGTAATTATATGTATTAGCCTGAGTGATATGAGCAAAGTTCATTTTTGTACACAAAAATAAAACCTAAGATATCATTACTTATTATATAATGTAGGTAGGGACCTGTATATATTATATAAGTAACGAGTATGATTAATCTTAAAAAGCCCATTACTACAAAATAATATATTTATATTAAGATGGATATTTTTAAAGCTAACGTTAAGTAACAAATCATATATATATTATTTTTTACGAAACACTTCAATAACTGTATGTTTCATATAGGATATATTTTAAGTTATGATAAATAATGAAAATTATTAATATAAATAATGAGTGTTTTTTTTTATATTTATTAGTTTGTCACAAAAAGAGTGAAGTGCGCTTTTATGTCCATGTTAGCGTTAGGTCATTAAAAAAGCAATAACTGATTTTGTAACCAACCTATCAGGAACCCAAATAATATCAATAAGACGAAGTACCTGGTTAATTTTTATAGCAGTTTACTTTTTTGACAAGATAACGGATAAAATTGGTCAAGTGTGATATCAGATCGATTAACTTTTTTATGAAATAAGGCCGTTGAACTTCCGCTTACGAAATAGGGAAAGGTGTTTTGTGAAAATAACATAACATTTAGATTCCGTCAAGTTTTTTAGGCCGTATTTACCGACAAGTTTGCCTAAACTGTTATCCGTGTAGCGATCTGACTCAGACTTCTGTGATCGGTTTCGTATTCTCTAATACATTGAACATTCATTGTATGAGAACATGAATCAAGCATTGACTAGTAGGTTTTCAAATATATAAACTTACTAAGAGACAACTTTGAAATACTTTATTCTTAATAGAAACAATGGTGATAGATAATAATTACTGAGGATCTAATAACGATTATTATTTATCAAAGTACAAGTACAATACATTCTAACCGAAGTGGGAGATACATAACCAAATGCTTTACAATGGTAACTGGAAAAATACAAAAATATTACTTACCTCGAAATTTATAACTCCATCCGCTCCGTATTTATCGAAAATTTTTTCAATAAAAAACTGTTCAGCCGGCAAGGTGTTGTTGACGACGCTTAAGTCAGAAGAGAAAAACAATTCCGCCGATGTTAAACTAGACGCCACGAGAAGGAGGATTAACGTAAACATTGTAGCTAGGAGGGTTCCGAACATGCGCAGGCGACAGTCTTGCGCCTCCGCTCTACACTATCTGATAAAATCAACGATTGTATGACGTTTAGTAGTGGTTTAGTACGTCTGAGCACGCTGGATACGCACTACGCAATTATTTGTTTATTTATCAAAGATAATCGCACTGAATCTTTTAAGTGCGAATGAGGTATGTCTCTGTCTGTCGGAGCGAAGGAAACGTGTGAGACTTTCACTAGAGTATTGCCGATGTCATGGGCTGGTTAAACCGTTATTGGTAAAGAGGCGTTTATATCGGCTCTTCTCAATACATTTTTGCTAACATTTCTATATTTTGAAATAGGCTTTTTTATGCTTACAGTAAGTACCCCTAGGTCAGATCACTAAACGACCAATATTTCTGAAATAAGCCGCAGTTTTTACAACTAATATAAATTTAAATTTTATATGATTTAATAGACGACAAAATTTATATTTATAAATTGTAGGTATTATAACTATTTTAGACACAGAACAAATCAGTGGCGTTAAGCTAGTTTGTGTATTAATTAATTTTTTATGCTAAATCAAGGATGACACTTAAGAATTGTTACAAGTTAATTGTTGCAATGAAACAGATATCAATCTTTCCGTTGCCATATGTAAATATACAAATTACATATTTCATTCATCGTTTACTTTTCGTATTTACCCTAATAGGAGAACAAATAAAAGAAGTTACATTGATTGATAAGTTGTTCTTCCGGATGTAATACGCAGAACTAATACTAAATTAACTTACCTACTACTAGCAACTGGAATTATCTCACGTGGATTCATATTTTAGAAAATGTATGTACACGTTTTACATACATTTTCTAAAATTTGAACTCTACCAGCTGTGCCAGCGACTTCGTCCACATAGAATAGTTATTTTGGGCGTCAAAATTAGTTTTTGCAAACCTCTCACCTCATCTTCATACATTATAGTTGTTATCCATGACGTCGTTCTTGCAAGTTAATCGTAAAGATAGACATATACTCTGCTGTCTCGGACATTTTTTGAGATAATTTATAGAGAATTCATTCTTTAATACATATTTTTTGGTTTATGTGTTGCTTAAACCGTCTTTCTAGCGCACGCATCGGAAACCCTCAAAGATGAATCATTTTCCCCGCTTATTCCACTTTTCCCACAATTTCTTTCGATAAAATAGATTAAGAGAAGTATCTCTTAATCAGTTTTATCGCCTAAAGCTTTCCTATATAAATGCTCTAAACAACACAATGACAATTAATCAGTTAGTAAGTCTTGAGATTAGGGCGTGGAACAAACAAACGAACTCTTCAGCTTTCTAATATTAGTACGGATATTCGAGCTTCCAAAGGTGCGGTCCGTCGGAACCACTTGCTATAGTTACTTAATTGGTTTTAGTCGTAAAAGCCCGCCAACCTGCAGCGAGGTAGATCTGGGTTCTTAACCCTCTCGTATGCGTTAGACTGTGCTAATGGACATTACTGAATGGGTTTATATAGCAAATACAAAAAGGTTCATACAAATTTACACAGTGGATACCAAACAATCATGTCATCAGTATCGTCCTGGTTTCCCTTGCACTATGTTCAGTGCAATCAATTGTAATATACGGGATTATTACAAATCATAATAATTTTTCTTTTAATCACTACACATCGTTTAATTTTGTATTCCAAACCTAGCATATAAGCAATATTCGATAATTAGGAAGAGATAATTGATAATTTATATATATTTACCTCTCCATCATGGTTATTTATAGTTAAAATTAGTAATCTAATTAATAAATCTATTCGGTTATGGAGTGAAGGATCGCTTTATCATTTTTGAGGTCATAATAGATAAAAATTTTAGTATATAATTAAAATTTATGTAAAAAGTAGACCAAACACAATTCTATATTTTTTTCGCTGCTCAATTTTAATTACAGGTAAGAGTTGAATTACCATCTATATGGCAAGTGTAAATAATATCAGCTGGAGGCGTAGACAGGACATGTTTTAGATTCCTGGGAAACACCCCAGGACGAAAATGGTCACATGGAAGGTGTAAATTACGAAACCAAAACGCCATTAAACAAGACCGAAGGTCCCAGAAGACTGAGATTTCGAATTGTTTCTTTCCCAAATTCTACTTCCCACGTTCAACCACCGAACCAAGGAGGTTTCAAAAAATATGACATACAACTTAAAACAAAAGTATGTTCATCCCTATTACAGTTTTATAATAATAGAGAGGAGATGATATTTACTTAACAATTTCAGAATTTTGTTTATAATATCTATGCTATCTGATTACTATTATCTGTTTAACTGCTTATGTGAATTGTGCTCATTTCCTGTATTTTCATGTTTATATTAGCGGAATACTATTGCGTATTAAAAAAAGGGTGTTGAATGCGAAACATGAAACAAAAAATCGCATATATTAAACACGTATTGATGGACAAATATTTACTCTAATAACACGGTCGTTTTGGTCTAACACCTGGTTATGGGTTATTTATGTTTTAGGTGTACCAACAAGTACTTTAATATTCTAATATATATTTTGATACTTAACTCGAGTAATAGTTTTAACATTATACATCTATTAAAACGTTTACCAATAACCTTAAATAATATTTCTAATATGGATGAATCAGTTTAAAATAATGTCTATCTGCTTTTAGACAAAAGAAAACAATAAATTATCGTCTATCATTTTTGCCCCGGAAATATTACTGTCTTGTTTTATACTTCTTAATTATAAATCGTTTTATACAAGAGTCTCATCCAGATTACCTACTTCTGCCATGAGAATTTTCAGACTTACCTGGAGACAGCGGTTGTAACCTCTTAAGCTTTGAAACTGCAATTAACATGTATTTTGAAGATATAAGACACCCACCCCAGCTCTTACTGAAAGCGTCCCAACAACTGCTTGTGTGGTGCAACGTTAGTAAAGGAAAGGAAATTTTAGTACGATCCTATTATAGAAAATATCTAATTAAACATTAACTCTTTTGTTTTTAAGCTATCAATGACGTTCTGGTCTCTGATTCGATCTGAAATCGGATTGAAAAGGTTAAAATTATCGCAGCCTGGTTTCAAGGACTAAGTACCACCAAACATTAGTGATGATAAGTGGGTCCGAAAGCCGAAAGTGCTCTTAGAGACACGGGGGTGACGAGACCTCTACTTGCAAACGCCGTGTTAATATAAATTGTCTGTGAAAAATAGTAATCACCAGTATTTTAGTCGACTATTGATGATTTCCAAAAGAAGTCGGATGCGCGAACTAATCTTAAACTGTTTATTCAGGCAATATAATCAGCGTACCTGTCAAAATATTAGATTAAGACGAGCAACAGCAAATATAAAATGTAAAATTAAATCCTCCGGTATTAGGTGTTAACTTAATTAGCTTTGTAGATAAGGGGAAGGAAAAGATGATGCAATCAGCCAGGTAGGTGCTTTTGTCATTTTCTAAGCATTACAATAGCCAAGAGTAATTCTATATTTATTAGATAACATTAACATTAAAATAATTTAAACGCGAATTGTTTAAAATAGGTTATTAAAACATTTTGGTGGGGAAGCTTTTGCTATGTCAGGTAGGTACTTCGCGCGAATTTGTTTAAAACCACCCGCGCTATGAATGGAAATAATTGTGTATTTAAGCAGTAATAAGTTGCTGATGTAAGCAATTAATAACCACAGTGGGAAATTATTCTCATTAAACCATATTAGTTAATTTATTTTAACTACGGTCCATCGTCTCGGATGCTTGGCGTAACTTACGTTAACTACAGTCAATACAGCACAACTAATACTTAAAACGTACATTTATATGGTGGTAATCAATCAGCATCAAATTTGACTAAACGACGCAATTCATAACTGAACACGGCGAATTCTCCGAATAAATAGATAAATTTAAACGCAAGGAAGACCCGATGTGTTCCTGTGACGGATCAACGCCGCAAATCGTGATACACTGCCCAACTAAATGCCCTGTGAGCATGCGTTCGCGGATGGACTTCGGGGCCCCGGAAAATTAAATATAAATTAATAATAAGTTTATCCTTTTTATTTAAAAAAAAAAAGACCCCCCCCCCCCCCCCCGGGGGGGGGGGGCCCCCCCCCCCCCCCCCGGCACCCCCCCGGGGGGAAAATTTTTTTTTTTTTTTTTTTTTTTTTTTTTTTTTTTTAGAAAAAAATTTGTTAACTTGAGTAAATAGGAATAACATTTAAAAATCGAAAATAAATTGATAACTTTTTTTTAAATTATTTTAGATTTTTAAATTATATTTTGCGTTCATGTGCAATAACAAATATTAAAGTTTTCCAAATTAATAAGAAAATTTATTCGGACAATTACAAGTAAACTATGTTAGTAAAGCCCTTAATAAGATGAGTAGTCTACTTTTGCTTTTCAAATTAATTGATCGACAAACAACAAAAGTACTTTTCTCAGCTGATGCTACTTGATAATTCTGAATTCTACCACTACATGTTCAGATTTTCAGACATTAACACGGCCCGTTATAAATTTGCCATTCATACTGGACCAACTAGCCCAATATAAGTTACTTTGTTTTCTTAGTCGTGACTAACATAATATTCACACTTATTATAAAGTTTTAAAATACAAGGTCAGCGTTTCATTGTTTCTTAGACATGAGGCTGACGCATGCATTTTTATGCCAAGTGATATTGTCCTGAAGATATGTTAGAATCGAATGTTTCCTATAGTAATTACAATATGGTAATTGTTAGTGATTGGTGGTTGATTGCGCATCGAAGATTAGAACTTTTAACAATTTAAACAGTTTTTTTTTATAAATTTGTTAATTTCAAGATTAAATGTAAAGCCCAATAAATAAAAGATTATACAGTTTTTATACGTTGAAGCCTCTTAAAGTTCTGAAGATTAACGCAACTAACAGAAAAATATATTTTTTTATTTCTCCAAGTGGATCATATTTTCATTACTAAAATAGGTGAATATTAATATTATTAAACCAGTTGCTGTTGATTTTTTTTCAATTTTTATAAATTAATCTGTTTTTTTTTATTTGTTATTAAACACTTATAATTATATGTATATTTTATATTGTATTAGTGAATAGTTAGCGCAGACTATACAATACCAAATATACGCATATTATAGTCTGTACTAACTACCCGGTGATTAGTCTGTGCGTCCTTATTGTTTTGTTTATGAAATTATTGTTATACTATAATTAGCCAATTAGCGATGGGTGTGCAAACATTTCCTTTGATGTCTTATTTAATTTCCAATCATGTAACGCCGTGTGAGCAGAGACCTTTTATTTACCGACTGCGCCCAACAAACATTCTCAGCCACTGATTCAGATAACGCGTATCGGTATTGTCCACACATTGACACAAACATTGCGTTATTGCCTATTGGTTTTGAATTATACACACAGTGGTGTAACTAATGGCCGTTATTTAACGACAGATAATCCGTAACTTCCCCTCTTCGAGTATTTGAATTTATTTCTGTCAAATAAAATATTTATCTACCTACTATTTACTTACATACTCAAAATTCGGTTATGAGGCTTTACACTACGTATCTAAGTCCACTTTATTATCATACAAAAAAACCTTGGTTTAAACTGATTCGCTTAGTATGAACTTTAAGGATATTCAAGGAATGTCGTGTTATAGACAAACAAAAAAGGTTTTTCGCAGTAATAAGTTTACTTAGGTACAGGAAGAGTTGTGTAAAAAAGTTGATTTTTCACAGTACTATTTTGACTGACAAACCGTTTCAATGCAGTACGTGTCTATTCAGTTTAATAGCAATTTATGCTTCGTTGCTTTTGCCCGGTTTTACTCTTTGTAGCGAAAATTGACGGCCTAAATTTCCGCGATATTAGAATTCTATACTAAACAGTTATTGGGGGTGTACCTAAATTCTAAGTACATTTTAAAACACGTTATTAGCCGATCACGTAAAGAAAGTTTCCGTTATCTTTAACTACAACAAAAAAGTATTATCGATACTTATATATAAGCGGATCTGTTATGGAAGTCAGCTACGCGTTTTTTTATCAGTATATACAATTGTGAAATGTATAGATTACTGAGTACAAGAAGTACTGTGAAAAATTAAAACGTTCTATCGTCACACTAAGCATTTTTGCTTTTTTAAATTCGTAGGCGTTGAAAAATTAATAACGCGCTTTTTAACAACATACATATCGACAAAGACCAAACAATAGATGATAGATTGAATAAGCTAAGAGATTTTTTTTCATTACGTTGAAAAAACGTTTTTCTTTCCAACAAATTACATTACTTAACTACCGTATGTTATTGAAATGTTAAACTTAAAAGGGTTCTACGTAATATTATGTTGTGAGGTATAAAATATTAAACAATAAAATACAAAGCAAAACTTTATTAATTGACTTTACAAGCTCGTTACACATAGCAAATTGTAAATCGATAAAGCTGGTCATTTATTGTCTAATCTTACAACTAAATATAGGAATCAATACTTTTTAACAGATCTAACGCATTCGAGCATACGATTCAGTACAAATAAATACAGCACAGCCGTTAGTCAGGTCGAGTCAGATCATAATTCTTTCGAGTCTTCGGGAAGGCATAAGAACATTTTTGAACAGAAGACGTTGAACGAATTGCAGGCTGATAGCAGCCAGCTGGGTTTATTTTCCCACATTATGAACACTAAATACACTGGCACCCCCAAAGCTATAATGGCAACACCGACACCCACTTCTAGGGGATGTGTGAAGCACGAACACACCACGAGTAAGGTACAGAGGATCAAAAACGAAATCGGGAGTAGAAGGCTGACTCGTATTGGTCGCTGTAGATTTGGTTGCGTGTACCGCAGCCAAAGCAGACCGGAAACGGAGCACAGAATAAAAATAGCTTCTACTGCTGTCACATAGACTATCAATGATTCCACGCTTTTTGACAGCAACAGGACGAGAGTAACCAGACACTGAAACAAATATGATAAGAATTTAAAATTAAGAAATAACAACGGTTTTGAAGTAATCAAAAATATGTTTCACATATGCGTATGATAGCTTATATACATTTAAAACTTTTTGTTAGTAGTAAAAAAATAAACTTTAATGGTATAAAACCCAGTGTATATTAGTAACACTTATTTAGAAATTATTTTGACTACGACCCGACGTTACTGCTGCTGCAAAGCTACCGAAAAGTTGGATCGTAGTTTAAAAAATATATTATGTGTTTTAAACAGTTAAAGGTGTTTTATTCAAATATCATTGAACTATTTTGACAATGATGTGTGGGGGTAAGGTAGCTCAGTTAGTATAGTAAAAGGACGGAACGCTTTAGTCGCGCTTAAGAGTCCCACCCTTTTTATTACATCTTCGTCAAAAAAAATATATTTGTGTTCATAATTCAAAATAAAAACAAATCGTTCACGTGGGTAAACAACTTGGGTGTTTCCTTGCTTCTACTATTTATAAAAGTCTCGTATTTAATTTTCACCTTTTTTCTAGGGAACGATTCAATTTAAAACATAACTGTTGCGGTGTATTGTGGTGCATTCAAGCACGCAGCCGAGTTAATAACCATATACACTCCAGTGAGTAAAGAAAATACTGTGGTAATTAAAGTGAACAACATGAAGTTAAGAGATTACAAAAAGGACAAATGTTCATATAAGTCGCGATATAAACATATAAATATTACATATTACATGACGAGGAAAAATGTTCATTGATTATACTCGGAGGTACATTTTTAGTAAACAATTTAGGATGTGTATGTTACATTTGATGACTTGTTGGCGATAATTAAAACTTATTTAAAAAGCTATTATGTTGTTAATAAATGTGTAAGCGAAAATTTAAATGATTTATTTATAACGAACTTTCATTTTAGTTGTTTAACTATATAAAATACTTGCTGTGCCAGCGACTTTGTCCGTGTAGCTTAATTATTTTGGGCATAGATATTTGTTTTTTCAAATTATAGATGCTACGTCGTTTAAGCAAATTAAAAGATAGACATATTCAGTCGCGGACATTTTTAGATCATTTAAAGACGATCCATATTATTTTATTTTTTGGGTATCATGGACCGTTTTCAAAGGTGAAAAATTTCCCCTGCTTTTCCACATTTGCCATGTTTTTGCTCTTATTTGGTCGCAACTTTTCATATATATAGATAAATGCTCTAACCAACACATTAGAATTTTTCAATTCGAACCAGCACTTCTTGAGATTAGCGCGTTCAAAAAATCTCAGTTTTTTTAATATTAGCACAGACTCATATGTTGTATAAATTAAAGAACGATTATAAAAAGTAACAAAAAATACGACACGGCCAGGACCTGAATCGGCATGCACAGCGTACCATGCTGTTGCTCTAACCAATTGAGCTACTGTGCCCTACACGTCATCGTATAATTTTTTACATGCACCTCTCGCACAATTTAATTTCAACCTTAACAATTACGTATTAAGGTCGGTATGTAAAACCACATAAAATATATTTACCATAAAAATTAAAGATGGCACAGGAGTCAGACGTCGCACATCTATCAAAGAGATCGCTAATGGCAGGTGTCCGTTTCTCGCACCGACAAAAAATAATCGGGACGATGCATAAATAGCACCGTTTAGAGATCCGAACGTGCATAATGCCACGAACAGAGGCATGACCCAGGAAAACACACCGAGGATCTGATCACTGAATGTGACGGCAACGGCCTCCGACGCCATTATTTGGTCATTCGTGAGAACAGCGAAGAAAGCCACGTTTGTGAGGGCATATACCAGGGTGACCACAGGCATCGATATACATATCGCTTTTGGCAAGTTCCTGAAATTGATAAGAAACATTTCAACTTGTGGTCAGATTAAAGATAGGCTTATATGATAAAATAAAAGCGACACATCGATTCTATATACTTATGTAGGTACGATATCTACGGTGGCGCCTCTTAAGCTAAATGGTTGCGTATTGCTTGCGTTAGCGCGATAGGTTCTGCGTTTGAATCCCGGTGAAACAATAGATTGTTTGATCGAGCAGGGTATAGAAGTCTGAGCAACTACTTGTCGGTAAATCAAGCGATTTGTGAAACGGATACATAATGTGTTCGCCCCATGCCCCACCGGGGGAAACGGTTTTTCACTGTCTGACGTTATATTATGTTTTCTTTATTGATGGCTTTTTTTACAGGCACGGCAATCACTTCCCTAAGTGATTGAATCTAACATATTTCCCTGGGATTCAAACCCAAGACTAGTGGCGCTTAACTACTTAGCCTATTAATTGACCTACGCAATTTTAATATGTTCTATAATTTATTAAAATGAACTGCTTTACCGATATGGATCCTTTAATTCCTCGGTCACAAAGTTTAGATAGTTCCAACCGGAATATGAAAACAATCCGGTGTAGAATGCGATAGCTATATCTCCGGGCTTGGTGACAGTTCCCTGCATCATCGACTGAAGGTTTTCTGTGTGCCCAGAGAAAAGGTACGCGAGACTGGCGCAAAACGTTACAAGCAAAGCTAGTATTTTGGCAGCCGTGAACGAATCCTGGACTCGAGTCACCCATTTAACGTTGTAGCAATTAATCGCTGTCAGGAAACCTGGAAAAAGACGTGGTTTTTAAGTGAAAATTCCTGTTCGGGTTTCGGGTACACTAGAATTTTGCAACAAACATGACAAATCCTTTTTAATAAGGTAATTTTTTTTATTATTGTATGAGTTACTATATCAGTTTGAATATTTTGGTTGTTGTGTGTTAAATACTTCAATGTCAATTTCTTATTAGAAAATTAACCTAATAACAATTTTATTTATGACAAAAAAGCATTTCACTCGATGGAAGGTAAAGTACCACCATATGGTTTACTATTACGCTTTGGACATTCGGAAATCCACAGATTGAAACCGAAATGCGATTAAACTCCACGGTTATTTCATATGTAGACGGTTGTGACCCGGGCGGAATTTTTTTCAATTTATTTTCGATTTTTAAATTCTAATATATTTTTTCATACTTAATACATGCACATTTGTTTCAGGTTCGTTAGTGTAATAGTACCTAGTATGTAATAAACGGATCGTGAGTACAATCCCTACCGGATCCAATATTTTTCTAATCAATTTATAATTTTCTGTAACATGTTGGACTTCTGTCTGTCTTGAAATTTGGATATTAAGTAGGTACTGTGGACTTCGCTCGTCACGAAGCGCTATCTACAGATGAAAAAACTATGCAGTTTAATCGCGTTCGCGAAGTCTGTGGAGTTCCGAATATTCAAAGCCAAAATAGGTCGCGCTTTTTGTGTAGATCAAGTGAACATGCTGGTATGTCGTTCTCTATCACAAAAAAATAATTGAATCTCTTTCGTATATTCATTTGCAAGGCACGAAATGAGCGGTTCCCGAAAAAATGCGACTGTTTACAGGCGTAAACTCATCATCCTATATTAGACAGAGTATACGTGTTAGTACAATCGGCAGGATAATTCGCGGTGGCACAGCGCGAGATACGGGAGCTGGAGGAAGCTCTCATTATCCTGTCAAGCACAATCAGCTTGTCGCGGCCGTTCTGAATATAAAGACGGTCCTCCATGGCCCTGTGATGACACATAACTCCTTATTGTGTAGTTATTGTTATACAATTGTTGCAATTTCGGTGCCTTCTCCTTCATACGTAATTATGTTATCAACAAGCTAACACGGTAGAATAGAAGTTTAAAGTTGAAGTGTAAATTAAAAGTTTATATTTCTGTATATTTTCCCACTCTTTGGATGCCAAAAGTCATCAAGTCTTTAAAGATTTGCTAAACTAATTCTCGTGTTAGAAAGTTTATAGAGAAAAGCTAGTGGCTGAACGCGAGTAGTATCTATAAATGAATCACTAACGGGTTTAAAACGCGATTTATATTAGGAATTAAACTTATTTGGAAATTATGATAACTACGGTCCGACGTTTCGGATGCTTTGCAGCAGCCGTGGTCACGGGGAGATAAATAATTTCCAAATAAGTATAACTAATATAACAGCACGTTTTAAATAGTTAAAGTATGTTATTTAAAACATAATAATATTACGCCAGTGGAAATGGTGAAATCCGGTAATAAAGATTTTGTCAAGAAACTAGCTATATGATGGAAATGTGCATTGCATTTTTAAAGAAAAACTATACAGTATAATGCAATTATCTGAAGTTGAACGACCTGTTTGAAAAAGCTGTTCTTCAAAACCACGCTGAGCACGCAATGAGTGGAAGGCAGGACATGTTGCAAGTACCATAATTGTCCTTTGGCACTTGTAAATTACTGTTGCCCGCGACTTCACTCACGCCAATGTTTATTTTGCTTGAATACCACAAGCCGCCAAAAAAGTATTTAAATAAAACACTTCAACGTTTTAAAACTCGATATTCATTAGTTAAACTTATTAGAAATGTTGCGGATCGTTCGATGTTGCGGATGCTTTGCAACAGTCGTGGTCAAGGGCTTCCGTCGTTTTAAACCGTTAAAGTGTTTTATTTAAATGTACTTCTCATATAAACTACAGAGAATATTTAACAAAAAGGTAATTTTTTTATTTAAATGTACTACTCATATAAACTACAGAGAATATTTAACAAAAAGGTAATTTCTACTATCTTAATCGATGTATAAAAACAATTTCTTTGCCTCCACATAATCAATACCGATACATATTATAAACATTGTTTGTTTAAACGCGCTAATCTTACTACTGTTCGTATTGAAAAGGATATTTGTGTCGGTTGAACTATTATCAGGGCAGGTTATAAAACATCATCATAGGAACAGCGAAGTGACAGTGGGAAAATTGGAAAAAATCGGATAAAATATTCGTCTCTAAGAGTTTCCGTTGCGTAAGCTGCAAAGCTGCTTTTAAATAAATGTTTTACTACTCTGTAACAAACAACAACCGTTTTTATGGTAATCAACGTTTAGTTAACATACTTCATATGACAAAAGAACATTTGCCAGGTCAGCTAGTACTCAAATAAACTAACAACTTTATCCTTTGTCATCTAATCTAAACTAAATATTGATTATCATTTTAATCCGTCTTACAATAATTTTATTAATGTTGTTACTAAATATAACAAACTGAGTTGAAGTATTTCTTGTGAGAAAATAATTCACTGCATGTGGCAATGCATATCGTTTTCGAGGAACTCTCGAGCTTGCAAAAATGAAATACGACAAAAACAATCATCGACAATGATTTATTCGTGTAATTTATAAAACAATCACTGGTGTACCAAGAAGTCGTTTTGGCTATACATTAAACATAAAGGTGCACTTCGTTGGCATTTCAAGAATTTTCAATAATAAGAATCGATGTTTACCTACGATAAAAATAAATTAATACTTTACTTAACTTTTACTAGTACGATTTATATGTTGTCGTAGCGAAAATAATCGTGAATAAATTGGTATATTTTAAATATTTTTAGAATAATTAAAATTAAGTAGAGATGACGCAATAATCCCGCTTACTTGAGTGACATGTAAGTAAAGTTAGCCAATCAATGTAGTATATTTCTGGTTACAGACTTACTTATAAATAATCATTCACCAACAGGTACACAAATGAAAACGAAATTTAATGTAATATTCTATCTATGTATATTATGCAGTAAGGTAGGTACTACTTACCTGTGTACATTATTTTTAACACCTAATAAAACCCAAATGACAAATACTTACTTTTTTGTCTTGTGTTGTCTCAAGACAAAAAGTAACTATTGGTATAACATAGTGGACGCAAATTTTTTAGAAATCGTGAAACAACATTTGCCCATGTCTGTATGTATTTCATTTTGTATACTCTGTGTGTAAGGAAGATCAATGTAAACACTATATTAAGTATAAATAAGTACTGCTGAAAGTATTATTTAAACTACTTACAGGTAATAACAGCAGCTATTAAAGTAACAGCATCTGTCGGTGGTTCGCAAGCTGGCCATAAAGGTTGAAGTATATTTTTGGCAAATGTTAGTGCCGTGATGGCGTTGCCAGTGGGGACCAGGACAAACAACGCCACCCAGAGGTACAGGAATGCTGGTAGAGGTCCAAACGCCTCCCCGATATATGCATAGTCGCCGCCAGACTTCGGAATCATGGTACCTGTGGTGAAAATAATAACATTGAAAAAGTACAAACGGAGACATAGCAATAATCTATTTCGCTTGAAGAGAGACAAAGAATACTGATCACTAAGTAGGTTACTTAGTGATCAGTATTCGTAGAGAACTTTAATAAAATTCGCAATTTAAAAAAGATAGAAATATAGTATTATTAGTATATATATATAATAGTATTAGTATAGTATTATTGGAGAAATAGTATGTATTGTAGCGTTAACATATGCATTCATAATTTTGCGACAATATTATTCATCCGATTATTGTAACTGTTCTAGACAGACAACTTTCTTTATTTAAATGATGATAAAAAAAACGTATTGCAATGCAAACTAATAACCTAATTTATTTATTCCGTCTACATTTGGTTGGCTTTTTGCAAATTTTAAGTAGGTAACTGGAATTCGATGAAATAATGAGCATAATAAAATGTTATAAAGACGACTTATAATATTTATACTATATATATACTTACTAACAATTTTAATAGGTACTTAATAGAAAGACTGCAATGCAGTCTTTCTTGTGACCTGTTTCATACAAGTATTGAACTGCGATATAGGTATACAAGTAACTTTGAATTTATATAAATACAATAAACATGTCCTAAAATTTGGCGCGATTTGATTATTTTTGGTGCGTTTTTTTTTTGGGGGGGGGGGGGATCGATCGAAAATTACGAATTTGTTTACGTGTAATGTAACTTAATTAATTAACTTTGTACAGTACGTACCTACTTATTCAAAAAGTATTACGTAAACTGATTCTTTGAAAAAAAATGAAGGTTACCATCGAAGGTAATTACTCCGTTTAGTAAAATCAAAATATGTATATTTTAGTAAAGTACACTTACATACGGTACTTATATGAAGTATGTAAGATAAAAGACTTTTTATTTATAATGGTATGATTAACAATACCAGTATAAGCTACCGACTTTCTACCGTCAGAATGTCATACCTACCTTAGTGGTCGTGCAGATGTAGTGCAGTAGAAAAACAATTTGCCGTTGGATTAACTCTTAGTTTTGCGTAATTTTGTATTGTACCTCAATAATATTTTATAGTAATAATAGTACTTACATTTTTTTATCGTTCGATCATATATATTATAATTTACTTAACGCTTATTTAAAACCGCTAACTATATGTATACACGGTTAATGAGGTTCTGTTACTATTTTGAGTTTTGCCAGTAACTAGAGAAACAACTTACCTAATTCCGCATAGCATAACGCCCCGATCATTGACAGGAAACCGGAGAGGACCCAGACAATAAGGGCCATACCCTTCGAACCTGCGTACTTCAAGGCCAGACTCGGAGAGACGAAGATACCCGAACCAACAATGACTCCGACAATTATCGCCACCCCATTAACGAGACTTAATTCCTTCTTTAATCGCACACCACCACTAGGTTCTGCTTCACTGTGTTCACCTTCTCCTACGTCCATCACCTTCGGCGCCAAAGTTTCGGAGGCTGACACTTTAGCCATAATTATTTTGTTTTCAACAGATTTTAGAAAATAATGTCCAGAATATTCATAACATTAGAATAAGTTTGAAAGCAAGACGAATTTATTTAAACTACTTCCAAGACAGAAGTGATGAGGCGCATGTAAACATTGCATCACACAGGTCTACTGCTGCGGTAAGCACCACGTGTGAAAAAAACTGCCACAAAAGGATATTTTATAAGTGTGGTCTCCGCCACCGAACCTTGCTGATAAAATTGTTCAAACCGTTTGTATTAATCACACATTTCACATAAATTCTACGCGTTTAGGTTAATATATTCTCGGTGTTGTAGGTCACCATATGTTTAAAACTTTAATTATTATTCGTTTCAATTCACGTCTTCGTCAAAATGTTTGAGTAATTTATTTTTACAATTTTCAAATAAATGCAATGATTAAAATCTCGCGATCGCAGACCGGCGCGTCAGCACACGTCGCGGTTGTACACGACCCCACTTCACTATTCAGAATACTAACCACGAGTGCGAGTCTACCGCCATGTGATGATTCCATGACGAAAAAGGCTGTTGAGCATATTGTTCTTCATTGAAATATCGACCTTCTCGACATACATACAAGGTTTATTTATAATTAAATCGACGGTAAACAATCGCTGCCAAGTTCAAACGGGTTTTGTCTCTCTTTTTCCCCTGTTATACCACGTGTACGGATGGCATACTTTTTAATCGTAATAGGCGTTAATAGTTATCCTGGCAAACGGCAACACTAACAAAACGTGCGTTCATTCAATGTGTTAACTGTGAAATATTTATAGGTGAAACATTTTCATACGAGCTATGATCGCGCCGGAAAGGTCATTGACAGTACAATACGTATTCCAGGAAGTGGCACACATCTCCGTGCTTTAAAATTGAAAATTTTAAATATTCCTTGTAAAATAACCTTAAGACATACGCATTATAACATTTATTTTTTATAAATAATAATATAAAATATAGTTCAGAAGTAGATAAAAAAATAAACATATTAATCGTTTCCATTCTGTGTAGGATATTTGAATATTCTCGCAGTTCCGTCATCTGATGACGATAGTATAATATTCTCCTTGGCATTATACACTAAATCTAATATTTCCGACCAGTGTCCTGTTAGTGTTTCACTGCATTCCCCAGATCTTCCAGCATAGACTCTTAATGACCCATCGAGACAGCCCGTGACTAGTTGGTCCTTATTCCAGTACATTTTAGTAACACCGGCTGACACATCTTCTTCAGATTTGGCACAAGAATGTCTGATCATTTTTCGTGCTGTATCCCAGATTGTTACGGAACCGTTTAAAGTACCTAGAAAAAACACATTACATTACCATCACAAAATCTTTACTAGATTAATATCATATTAAAATTGCATTCACATAATAACCTAGTGCAAAGTAACCCAACTGTAAGTCTGGACAAAATGCTACAGTTTCTAAATCATTTTCTGCTTGTAGTTGTGCAACAACTTTTCCATTGACAGATGTAGTTAAAACCACTTTACCTGCAAACAAAATATTTATGAAAAAATTTGGTATTTTTTATTAGAATTTAACCATGGCATGGTGGCATGAAGCACAGTATAAGTAATGGTAACTACTTTATCACTCATAGTACTAAATCAGCATTTTTTTCACTCCTAGGTATGGACGGATAATAGACATTTATTGTTTAACAAATATTTCTTGGACAGCTACAGTTAATATGACATGACTAAACAAGAATTATAATTATTGCACAAAATTTGTTTTTTGTCTAAGTTTTTTTACCATCAGTTGAAATAGATGCCATTAAATTATTCTCGGGATGTATATCAATTGCAGTGACTCTGGTTTCATGCACGCCATTGGAAAATTGGTGCAGGATTGCATTTGTTTTTAAATCCCAAATTTTTACAGCTCCATCTTCATATCCGACCGCTAACCTCACTCCATCAGGAAAAATCTGTATGTTACACAAAAATAAACTTCAATATGGATATTGCATATGTCTGTAGATAATGTATCAAACATTTGTTATTAGGTTTTAATAAACAAATTGTATAACACAGATTAGGATAATTTAGATTACCTTTCCACACTCTGTTCTTATGCTGTGACCTTGTAAAACCTTGGTGTCTCCTGAGGGTATTTTAAAGACATAAATATCACCAGTGTCTGCCCCACATAGCAGGACTCTTGCACCAAAATGCCATAAACCCCAACTAAGGTCATCAGCTTCATACTCAAAGGCTACCTGCCAAGGTTCTTGTGTTTCGAAATTACATTTCCAAACTTTTATTAATCCACACATATCAACAGTGGCTAGATATGCTCCATCAAAACTAAAGCCAACAAAGATAACTGAATCTTTATGTCCTTTGCAGTCCATAATTACATCACCCGTCTCCACAGACCATACAAATGCTTTGTCATCTTCACCACCAGTGACAGCAACTTTTCCATTTAAGTGTAAATCACAACAAAAGACTGAACCTGTATGCTTATTGAAAACTAATGCTGCTTGATCTTCAGGTCTTTCCATTGCAGAGTCGCTATACTCTTCCTCCTGATCGTCAACCATTTCGTCGTCATCAAATTGAATTTGATCATCAATGTCCCCCATGTAAATGAATTCCTCATCATTCTCTCCATCCATTCCGACTATATCGTCACCATTTATGGATGATGGTGGAGTGTCGTGTTGACGATTTTTCATATTAAATAATGGGGTCCAATATGTAGTAATATTTACTAAATACGTAAAAATCCCCTTGAGTGAGGTTATTATAAGTAATATTTAATGTCAAATAACACTTGCCAGGTACTTGCTATTTCTATTTTAGCTGTTCATAAGATAGAAGATCTTCAGTAATAATTTAGTAGCTTTTGAATTTACTTTATAATTGTGTTCTTATAATCACATGCTTTTGTTTTCCTATTATACAAATTTATAAAATAGTATGGTCACAGATGTCTTAATGAGATATATGACACAAAGACAGACATATGACATTTTGTTATATCACAGATTTCCTTTATCCAAAGATTTAGACTTTAGTATGGCTCTATCTATAGTGACTTGTTTAATCTGTGTGTTTAGATATGACATAAGAAATCTTATTCTATTTTATAATATTACATCTGTGAAGTTTGATTCGTTATAGACTACTATTTTCCTTGCTGTAGTATATATTTCATTATTTTTTATTTAAATTTTGAAATGTTTTAATGAATATTTAACAAAATTATAATTAGCATTAGGAAATTGAACGTCACAGTTTTATTTCCGTAATTGTTTATTGTATATTTGAATCTAAAATGACGACAATTCATAAGGGTATTTTAATTTTTATCTAATAGTTAGCAGGAATAAAAATAATATAATTTAATTCTGCTTTTATGTCTTGGTTTTAGTTTTATTGCAGACACCGTTGACCTTTACTATAGCAAAGAGATTCCGAGGGAAAATTAACATACAAAGGCCCAGAAAACCCCATTTTGAAAAACAACTTCTCATTGACATAACCAAACCAATTTATATACCTCGAAACAATTCACTGCCTGAATATACTCTTTGCGATTTTGAGAAATCCGGATTTGTAAAAAAGGATATAGATAATCCTTTCGAAAGAATATTGGCAAGAGAATGTCTCGAGTGGTTTAACACATCTAAAATGATAGTTTTTCTTCACATGAACTCCATAAGTATGGAGGATAAGACACCTATATTTGCAGCTTTAAAGAAAAACGACATGCATTTAAGAACATATGGTAAGAAAATTGTGAGCATGGCTACTAAGGGTACAAGGTATGAGAATGTTAATCAGTTATTCACATCACATCAAAACATTATTTTTGGCCAACCTAATAAAGTGGATAAGATGTTTAAAATTTTGAAGAAGACTCCGCAAATGGTTGTAATGGGTAAGTTGTGTATATGTAATCTTTAATTCTTTTATGTATGTCTGATCTTATTTATTTCTTTTTATATAAGGCTATTTGAAAAGCTGATAATAATGTATCGTGAATTCTTTCAGCTGGTATCATAGAAGACAGGATGATGTCAAAGAATGAATTATTCGAATTCAGTAAACTACCCAACTTAGATGTAGCCAGAAGTCAGCTTTGTGCTGTATTACAGAGTGCTGGTTCGTGCATTGTGAATCAACTAAACCAAAATCAACAAATGCTTGTTTCACATCTTGAGAAGCACATAGAATTACAGAAGGACCAAGACAAAGATAAAAACATTGATAGTTGAGTTTGTCAGTAAAAATAAAAATTTAGTTTAACTTACTATGAGTAACAGTGTAGTTTTTATTACAAGCTTTCTGCAATTTGTATTTATTTTTATTTAGTTATACTATGAATTGTATAAAGATACAAGGGTGGTAATCCTAAAAATAATGCTTAATTTTTATTGAGCATCATTTATTTAGGCAGGCATTATGGCATATAATCATTCTTCTCTGATATACTGATAAACACAATATAGATACTGCTTGGAAGACTGGTCAGATATGCTCTTTAAAAATACAAAGGCTACTTTTAACAACGACTTAGTGTCGAGTATGAAAAATGAACGAGTGATGAAATTATTGTTATATCCGAAATGTAAGAAATATATGTAATTAGAAATCGTGCAGATTACTAACTTGCTGTTTGTGCATTTTTTGTCGTAGATCAGAGAAGCATAATTACGTTTATGCTATTACATAATTAAATGTAATTATGGAACAGGACCAATGAGGTTGGACAGATAAAATTCTCCAGAACCCACCTCCACATGATAGATGCATAAAAAGCATATTTTTTTATAAAAATGTACTTTATATCAAATGGGCATTAATACAAATGTAATTGTGTTCTTAATCATAATATTATTATATTTAACATACTTTGGGCAACGGATAGTTTAGGAGAGATCAAAAACAGGAGTTTCACTCGTATGTAGGTAACTTAATGAACTAGTTTCTAAACACAACATAAAAACATTATAACTAAATCGTTTTTGAGCATAATTGGGGAATAACCCAATAATTACATATAACTTAAGAGGTTCTCCAACCCTTTCTGGATTGTCTGTAATTATCTGGTGTTACAGTTAGATATTCAAAGTTTGATTTGTGCTAAAACCTACATGTAAGAAAAGTTTAACAAATCATTATAAGTATTTTCTATTACGAGGAGGGATCAAAGAAGAATAAATGAACATAAGGTTCATCCATAGATTATATGAGGCCGCTAGAGGCAGAGTAGCCTAACTGCAATTTTATGACATAACTTATTTCGAAAACTAATATTTTTTACAATTTATTTTCGATTTTTAAAAACATAACATATTTATATTTTTAAAACTTTTTAAACTACTAGAGCACAAGAATCGAAAATTGCTACCATAATTCTGACACAAATAATAGTTCTAATACATTTTCGCCTAAGTTAATTTCGCATTTTTACCTTCCTCCTTATTAAAATTCATGATTTCTGTTATTAGGCCTCTCTGCCTCTAGCAGCCTCATAAAACAAATAAGCTTAAAAATATATAAATGTGAGACGAATAAATGCAAACAAAACACGAGATTCAAACGGCACTGATACGACTGGCTGCCAAAGTCGTAAGAGCTACTGCTGCTTCCACTTCGTCTCTATCGTGTTCCAAGTTGTTAATAGTAACGCGCTGCGGCTTTGGATGCTGCTTTTTTCTCCTCCCTTCAGGCCACCATGAATAGTTGGTCTCACTTGGCTTAAACTTGGCTGCACTCTCCAACCATTTGCTCAGAAGCACTGGGCTGTTTTGTGTGTTTGCGTTATTACTACAGTTAATTTCATCGCTTTTGTGATCAATTTCGTTACAGTTATTATTGAAGCTTTTGTGTTCTATTGATGTATTTTTAAAGTCTGATCTAAAGTCGGAGTTGACTTCGAATCCATCGGATTCACTTGTTTGGTGTTGAGGGCTCATGCCTTCTGGTTCACTCCATATGCTGTCATCGGAGCAGATACTGAATTGTTCTACGTTGCCCTGAGCGCGATCATTGTATGTACGAATAAGATGGCCCCATGTTATTTCATTTCGCTCCGCGTTTACATTTTTAAGTTTCCTCCTCCAGTTTGCGAACCAATTGCAAATCTGCGAAAAACGTGTGCCACTTTAATCTCTTATTTTTACTTATAGGTAGTAAATATGATTACCAATTTCTGATGGGCGGCGAAACGCAAGAATGTGTTGCGTTTGAAAATAAGGTTCATCTAAAATTCTTTTGTTTTAAAGTTAACGACGTAAATTAAGACTTATGTTAAATGCCCAGTGACAGGAATAGTGCTTAATTGTGAACAAATAAGAATTTCTGGCAGGATTCCAATTAGGTTGTTAGTTACATAGAACATACTTGTATTCTCTAATAATCTGTTTCTATAATATTACAGTTAAGAAAATGGTATGCATATTTTATTTAGTTTTTCATTTACTTAAAATGGCTTAACTTACTTGGATGTATGTGAGTCCAGTTTCGCGGGATAATATTTTTTTTTCTTCGCGGTTGGGATACGGATTGTCTCTCCGCCGCACTAGCCAATCTTTTAAGTAACGTTTAATTTCAGGCGTGAATAATCTCTTCTGCGGTCGCTGGCCAGACACGAGACATCGGCTATAAAAATTAACTGCTTTTATATTATCTGATGAAACAGTTGATACTAGAATTACCTAAAAGTAATCTGACTAAAATAAACAAAATGACCAAAATGCATTGTGTGACGCACAAAGACATTATTTACTAAATAAAGACTGAAAGATATGAGTCACTTTAACTAACCGTGTATGTCGCCTGTTCCTCACAGGTCTCGAGGTTTTACCACGGTCCTCCCGGGCTGCGTCCATGATCATAGGTGGATCGTCTTCCTGTCTTTCGACAAGCGTCATCAGCGTCAAGGGCTTTAGATGGAGTACTCAAATTAAGTGTGGTCTTAGCACGTGCGATGGGTGCCGCAGCTTGAAACAAGATTCCGTGTATCACGCCGTGGCCGTTGCGGGGGATACTTGTGATCTATTAAAAATAAGGACATGTTGACATAAATAGATTGACTCTTCGGTGGACTCTAACTCGCTTTTTATTCTCAGGCACAAAAACGTCTATCTATGTGTTGATGTAACAGAAACATGACCGTCACATTCCTTAGATGTTAGTATTTTTAAATCAATTCTAAGTCTTTGAAATATAGAGTTCTATATTTCCTAAATATAAAGAACAGCAAGGGTTTCGTTTACACTACACATTTTTAAGATAGATATCAGTTATAAAGCAGAAAACAAAAAAAACATGCTACTGTTACGTGTACAATAGCGAGGTCATTGGGCTCCTGGCGGAAAGATTTAGTTAATTCTGCTTTACTAAGAACAAATCCAGATTTTACAAGAACTAATACTAATTACGGCGACAATTTTATAGAAGTAATTTTTAAAAATAGGCACGTACCAATTGTTCAGGAAAATCTCGTGGTCTCCGTGAAAATGGCGTCGAATGATGTATGCGACTGAAGCGCCGCGAGTGCGGCGCGGGCGCACAGCCCTGCTGCAAATTCATGTTATTTCAGGACGTCTCCCGCGATGTCTTCAAAGTTGAAACAACGAAACACGTAAAAACAGGTAAATATAAACATTGCGTATTGTTTGTATGAGTAATCGTCAAAAATAAATATTAAATAAACAACAATAGCGACGACTTGAAAAAATATTTCATTCATATCAGAATAATCATTACTTTATTTGGTTCGACGAATATATAGCTACAAGCAATGTAAAATAAAAATACATATTTCATTATCTACTACTTTGGAGGAGGAGGTCTAAACCCAAAACTGGGTTCCTCTTCTTTCTTCTGTATCTTGAACATAAAACATTACATATATTATAAATATAAATAAACAATATTTATTTATTTATTTAGCAAAAGAAAACATACTTAGCTACTTATGTAATGTATCTACATTACATATTAGTAGCTAAGGAATAACAAAATAAAAAATAAGGTTGAATGCATCCTTAAAAGTTTCACAAATAGTTAAATGTTATATACAATATGAAAAAACAAGACGTCGATAAAAATTACAGGGAATTAGACAAATTTTATATAAGAGTTAACAAACAAATAAAATTAATTGGGAGTGCAAAAACAAATCGATATCGGCAAACTCGAGGGAAGAACACATTCTGTGGAGTGGCGAACAACTATATTACTAATATAATCTAAGCTTACTAATAAAATGTATGTTGAATGTAATAGTATAAAAAATTACTGCTATAAAACAAGTAAAACTAAGGCTTATTACTATTTTATCTCTTACTTTAAATATTAGTCCATGTTCTGTACAGATGTTTATAAACCTTTAATTCTGGTGAAAGATCGGCCGCACTTTTAGTACGTGTCATACCTAATCGTCCACTACCTACCTACTCACATAAGCTCCATTGTGCGAGCTTTGCTATAACAAATATACACAATTAAAAGCACAACAAAATCGAGCACCATTTACATCTAGAGCTCATCATAGTAACCTGTGTGTTTTTGTCTCGAATTACTAATGTTACAAATATATTTACATATACAAATATTTATTTATATTTTACATATTATGCTTTATCTATTAGTACGGTAGTTACATTTTCCAGAGGTTTATTAGATTTATAGATATTCGGTTCAAAGCCGACTAAAATCGATTTTCTACTGTTAAAAGACGAAAAGTAAAGTACAAATATACCATAATATAATATTAGAATATCAAATTAAAAATACAGAGGATTAAAGTACAATAGAAAACAATTAAATTACAGGATACAAGTTAAGTTTATAAAAAAAGAAAAACTATAAGTATCTTTTAAAATTTTAACCCTCTAAGTACTACTTACTAATAAATATTACCTACGTCGTTTCGTAAAATGTAAAAGGTCTCGTAACTGTTTATCCGTTCATTTCATTGATTTTAGATAAATAAGACAAATATTTATTGTATAATAAATCATATAATAATAATAAATCAATAAACAATATAATATATAAATACTGTATTTATTAATTTACATAACGAAATAATAAGAGTATAAAGAGATGGAAACAACGTTCAAAAATATCAACTATTACAAATAAAAACGATTCTACAATACAAATAGCCAGGTTATTTTCAAATTTATAAAAATTATTTACTGTAGCAGAACATTTCTGTCAACTGAGCGTTATTTATTTATATAGGGTATTTTGTTGATTTGAGGTATTAGGTCCCTTGTATAACAAATGGCACATGGAGATAGATTGCCTACTCACTGAATGAAGGCAGTTACTGTTAAATAGACTCTGACGCAATACTATATTTTCATTACATCATTAATAAGTAATACTTTCTTCAAAATTCACAAGTATCATCAAATAACTACATTAAAAAATAACAAGGAAAAGGTTTTATGAAGTATAATTATTAATTACACATCTATGTATTTGTAGATAAGTTATAACACTTTATATTCAAATTGATAAGTCAAAGCATATACAATTCCACTTTAGTTGCAGAAAACTAAAGTGGAATTCGTATAGACTTTGATTTATTTATTTAATCTTTTATTAATTAATGAAACTTCTACCAGTTTCTGTCTGTTCTTGCATGGTCCATTGACAATTATTCTGTCTCTTTCCTGTCGCTAAATACGCGAACTATGTGTGTCCTTGTTGTAAACGGGCTTTCCATGACAGTTACCTACAAAGTACAATCGGGGTGTTCAGAAATTCAGAGACAACTCCAGTTAGCGCGCCGCACATGCGCAGAGAAGTCCGCGTCCGCTCGCGTTCGACGTGTTATTACTTATTCCAGTTCCTATTCATTTGACGTCAAGACGTGCTTATTTGCTGTTTTGTAGGTCGTAAAAATGCTTCCAGTAAGAGAGTTATTCGTGTAAAAGTTTTCACGCGTCTCCGACGATGTTGTACGTAATCTTCCATTGAATATTGTTTTACATTAAAAAATACCGCGACTTTATCACGCTGGCCCACGTGTTTGTTTACCGGCAACAGTGATTGATTTTATTTCGGAATGGGCGAAGAAATACAAGCGGACGACGGAAAAGTGACTTTAAAACGAAAAATAACTCTTTTCAACGGTGTCGGAATTATTATCGGCACTATAATAGGATCAGGAATTTTTATATCACCTACTGGAGTTTATCTTTACACTGGGTAAGTCGATGCGAAATTTTTGCCGCCTTTTCTAAATACATACTTAAGTATAGTAAGCATTTTAAATAATAACATAAGAAAATTTTTCAACTACCTATGCCCGTTTTTTAATTGCTAAACTTTTTAAATGTTTACGATGTTTTCATTTAATATACCTAACGAATTATTCTATTTAACTACGTTCTTACGTACGTTGTAGTAACTTCATTCATGGTTTGATAACACGTAACGTATTACGACAAGTTGTTTCACGTAAATAATCATTTATTGATAACGGACAGGATTTGTAACTTAATTGTGAATATCAAGGCTGTCCTGTTAATTTACGTAGATGAAAAACATAAATTAAATTAACGGATAATGATTGATAAGATATTTTTTTAAGTTTCCATAACACCTTTTCGGAATGTTAGTTTTCTATTAAAAGAGACCTATAATATGCATATGAAATATGTATATGTGTTTCGACGAGGTTCGAGACGTAAAACTTAATAAGTTATTTGGATATATTTAAATACAATTTAAATATTATTTTGTGTTCTCTTTTACGTATACATGATATAATATAAATAGTTATACATTGTACGCTAGCAAGTCTCCGTTTAAACTATGCCAATTAATCAACGAGGAAATTTGCGTAGGTTCGTTGGTTGACTACCTACCTATATGTTGTTGATACGTTGTTTCGTAGTAAATGAACTCGATTCTCCTTAATCTTTCCCTGCTTGCTTTCCGGAAATTCTTCTAGATACTCTTTTAAATCGGTCTGTAATTCTTAAAGGAATAGCTAAGAATGATAATTTTATGTTAACTAGGTATGTAATAAAATAATGATCATGTTAAATTAGCTTTTTATGACCTAAATTCACATCTATAAAAAATAAGGATTCGGTGGATTAAAATAAAGTTCGAAGCTTTTTAAAATAATACCAATTTTACAATAAACAATTACTTACACTTCATACTCAATAGAAGAGCGTTAGGAAGTTGATTAAATCCGTATTATCGGATACCATTTAAGTTAAAACGTTTATGAAATTACGGCGTTTGTCTTATCTGATATCAATTGGGTTTGACTATGCGCGTGTTATAAACGTGTGTGGTGTGTGCCATTTTCCAGCAGTTCAGGGACACTTCGAACTCTCTTGTGCTCTACTTTGCTTAAAAACACTTAGGCACTAACGTGATTACATACTTAATACATAACGAAATAAACGTAGGTATGTGAGTTCTACAAGATTGTTGTACTACTCCTTTGAATACAATATTCCCAGCTGTGCACTCAACTGTTTTTCAGAATAAAGCATATTTGTTGTTTTAAATAGGTTTATAAACATAAGCTCAATTACTAATTACATAAGTAATGGTGCGTTTGAAGAACAAAAGCATTCCACTACAAAGAAGTTTTAAATATTCAACAATCGATTTGGTCTGTATTTGACGCAGTAGAACACATTTAAATAAAATTAAATGTTTAATAGTGTTTTCTTTTTAACTCGTAGGGCTTTTAAACTACAACTACCGTCTTATACCGTTAGGTATAGGTCCGGTGTCCAATGTCGGAGTATCTATTAAATTAAATATAGATATTAACCGATCTGCGATATTAGAAATGACATGTACGAAAACATATCAGATTCGATTTCGACCTTGGCCCTGTTGCCAAGTCAATTGGAGTGCGTTCACCGGTTTATATGGTCCAATAGTAGTTCCAGTCTCAGCTCTGGATTTGTTAATTTATTCATTTGCTCAAAATAACACCACACCTAATATTCATAATATGCGCGTAACCTACCTCATTTTTTTTGGTATTATTTATTATTTTATAGACTTAAGATTACTAGAGAGTAGAGACATAGCTAAGTAAAAATAACAAAAATATAATATAGTTCGAAAATAACGAAATATATGGCATACGCTGTCGCTAAAGTATAATATGTCAACCTTTTCTTAAATTATGTAGTTACTAGCTGTTCCCGCGACCTCGTCCGCGTGGAATACTGACTTGGGGTAGAATGTTTAATTATTTAGGCTGTTTATTAATTTATGTAAGGACGCATTTAAGACAGCCAATCTATGTTGTAAGTGCTACTTTGCCGCAACACTCCCACCTCACACCACTCCTACTCTAACTCCCACTCTCACTCTCACTCCCACTCCCACTCCCACTCCCACTCCTATTCCTAAAAAGCCAAAGAATAAAAGTTTCATTGTTCTAGCTTCAAAAACCACGAATTTCCATACAAACTTTTACCCCCCCTTTTAACACCTTACAACGCCCTTTTCGCAATAAAAGTATTTCGCAATTAAATTATATATGTATATATATAGCCTAAGGTCTGGTGTCAATTTTATTGATAGTGTACTAGCGACTCTATAGGATTTTTCGAGAAAACTTTAAAAAATAAAACTTGCTAAGCTTTTCGGTTTTTGAGGTGCCATCCAAATTGAGAGGAGATATTGCATGTTCCTAGACTAAACGAAGACTAATTTTTTAGGTAATTTCCTTCTTTTTTTTCAGATCGGTAGCAGCTTCACTATTAATATGGCTTATATGCGGGCTCTTATCAACGTTAGGCGCCCTTTGCTATGCCGAGCTGGGGACTTCCATAGCGAGATCTGGCGGTGATTATGCGTACATCTACACGGCCTTCGGGCCTTTACCTGCATTTCTCAGAATGTGGATTGCGCTGCTTATAATTAGACCTACGACGCAAGCTATAGTCGCTCTAACGTTCGGACATTACGTGGTGAAACCTTTCTTCCCTGAATGCGAACCACCACAGAACGCTGTCAAACTTTTGGCGGCTGTTTGTTTGTGTAAGTATCTCTCCGTTTTTGGTCTTGTTTTCGTTTTTTTAGTTAGAGGTTATCAGTTTGACGTAAGCTGATGAAGACATTTTACATGTTATGGTTTGCTAACATAATCGTTTGGAGTTCGCGATAACCCGTTTTACTTGAATGTTAGCTGTTTTGATTTAATGACACAAAAAGAAAAGATTAGGTATGTAATGGCGATGATGTAAAAAACGATGCTCAACAAATTAAAATGCTATTTATTTCTAGTAAATTTACTACAGAAACTGCTTGTCTGCTGAAAAGTTGTTGTTTGAGCGTACTTCAGTTTGCATACAAATAAAACGTGTTTTAATTCGTCTAAACTATGTACTTTTATTCAATATGTAGTGTATGCGTAAACAATATATATGGAAAGGTTAATAAAAATAATGCGAAATTACTATTCACAAGAAATCACGATTTGACACAATACTAACTGAAGATGTATATACATATGTATAGGTTGAGATATAGAGATAAGAACGCTTCAACATAGAATATAGATTCTAAGCTCAAGCTTTAAGTTGACTAGTTGAGTTGCTAAGTGTTAACTTAATATCCCTTTCTTCAGTGCTGACGTGAGTCCTGGCGCCGTAGAAATAACAACGCGTCTCGGTAGTAAATAATCATTAAGCCGTTAAGGATTCTGATTAGTCATTAGTTACCTCATTAAGATATTCCTACTTTATCTATACGTCTACTTTTCCTAATTTTTGTAATTAATTTTCTTTGGTGGCCTTTTGTTTCTTATCATTTGTAATTATTTACTTTTTACCTCGTTTACTAACTTTCTCTATGTCCACCTTATAGTCTAAAATATAGCTAAGTTGTAAACCTCAAATCTTTTGGTTCAATTAAAATTGTGAAGAAAAGTTAATTTTCAAATATTACATATTATATGTAAGATCCCATGTTAGGTATGTGTAGGCACATTTCTTTTGATTTATTGAATATTTTTAATAGACGGCGAATGTAGGACTTCGCCCCTGACGTTGGTAACAAGTGAGCAACAAGTTAAATTGTGCATCAGTAGTAAAATATAATATGTCATGTGGCAACAACTAACAGGAAACTGATCACGAATTCACAGCATATTTTATAAACCAGCCATTGTGTGATTTACGCTTTATCGCTCAAATATTTATACTAATGTTATAAACAACAATTGGTGTTTGTTTGTCATTTCTTCACGCCCCGTTCTAAAACTCATCCATCGACCCATTCATCATATCGATTGTTATTTGAAAGCAGTAGAAGTAGTTTTTCGCAGAATATTCGTGTTATTTCAATGACAATCGTTATCCTTCTAGGATCCATATCTTATTTTCCTTCTATTTAATACAAAATAATATTGCACGCTAGTACAACTGCACCATTAGATGGTGGAGTAACTACGTTTTTTCACTTACCTTTTGCTAACTACAAGCTCAATACTGTAAAATCGTAAACTGTTACGCGTATTATTCGGTTTAGTCCGTTGACCTTTAATCAAATATTCTACACGATATACAATGTACGCTTAACTACTTTACAAGTGCCTATTACTTTAGTTCTAAGTGATATCATCCAAATCCGAAAACTAATGCTAAAAATACACCCAAGTGTAAGTATTTTCATATATAAGTAAGTATATACATATTTTTTTCCATTATATTTATTCCATTTTGGCTCTATAAGTCGTTCCATATGTCCATTATATTTCTCGGTATCGACTTAGTTATTTGTTAAATTTATTAGGATATATTAAAGAAATAAATCATTTTTTTAAATACGTAAAGCCGTTGTACTGATCGTCTTACTTACCAGGTACTTGATCAGACATTTGGGCCTCATTGAACCGAAACAATTACTTGTTTCCCTGAAATTAAACCCGTGTTCAATATGATCCTAGGCAACGCGTATCTACTAAGCTACGGAGGTGGCAATATGATATAATTAATAAACGAATAAATTTTAAATATTTATCAATAAATTAAGTTAATACTATCCGTAAAAATAAGTATAAACGCAATTAAATAATTAATCTCTAACCGTATTTAATATTTATTGCTTTGAAGATAGAACATCTGTCATAATTTATAGTAGACATGTTTATTATAATACCGATAGTGGTAATCTAGTGTTAACGTTTCTACTAAAATTATATCAATCATTATAATATTAGTATAATAAGCGAAAGGGAATTACAATTTGCCCTTGGGATAAATGAATTTTGAAAAATTAAATACGCATATTTTTCCTCTAAGAACAACGTAGAAGAATCAGGGTTTTACATACTGTCGGTAGTTTACGCGAGTAGTACATATTTAAACAAAACACTAACGGTTAAAAACGCGATATATATTAGTTAAACTTATTTGAAAATTATTTTAGCTACAGCCCGACGTTTCGCCAAATAACGACTTCGTTGACAGGTGGCGCTAGCGTTGCGGTTTTTGCTTTGACGTCAGAGGCACCCTTTATCTTTAGTCTCCCCGTGACCACGGCTGCTGCAAAACATTTGAAACGTCCGGCCGTAGTTAAAATAATTTTCAAATAAGTTTAACTATTATATGTATATCACGTGTTAAACCGTTAGTGTTTTATTTTAACAAGATTTTACACTATTTAATCAATTAGTTAGTAGTATGCCTAATACATAGCAAATGCATGAAAAGTACAGTGACATTTGATTTGACGCTCAAGTATTACGTAGATTGCATCTTCAGGGAATAAACGGAAACTTCCACTTAACCTAATTTCCGATCCTCTCCGAGCTTTGAAAGGAGCCGTTTCCCTCTCGAAGTATATACATATTAAGTTGCTGTAGAAAGCTTTGCTAAAGCGAAAGCTACGGATAGGCAATAAGCTCTCGGCTTTGCCTAGTTTCCATTTATCTAATGAAAATATATTGCATTATGCCGAGGTTTCTAGAAAATACAATTATTGGCTCATTATCTTTGCTTTCTCGTTCTCCAGGTATATTAACAGCAATCAACTGCATTAGCGTACGATGGACTATGCGGATTCAAGATGTCTTCACGACCTCTAAATTACTAGCATTAATTGTCATCATAATATCAGGCCTATATTACATTGGAATTGGTGAGTTCTTTTTCTTTCTCTTTTACATTATAGTTTAACCCAAAGACGGCAAAGTCAAATAAGGGTGATGTTTTTGTCACTATTTGTATGTTCAAGTCTAGCGTTAAAACTACTGAACTAAACAGAATGGTGTAAAACAAATAGTTATGACGTCGAGAATTGATTGATCATGGTCGAGATAACTTGACCGTTCTTGTAGTTTCACTCCAATCCACTAATTTGTAATTTGTATCATTATTGTTTGAAAACTTTAATATTTTTCGCATGTTATTGCACATGATGGCACTATATAAATGAAACATCGAAAATAAATTGAAAAAATTGACGATTCAGGCAGTACTTGAACCGGCATCGTCAGCGTTCCGTGCCGTAGCTCTAACCAAATGATCATTATTCGTAAAAAAAACTTAAGTGCGTAAGTGCAGTTTATTACTTTCCACTGCTTAGACTGGATTAGATATACTTACAAAACACTTCGAGTGTCGAACCTTGAACCTCGTAGTCTAAAGTCGCGTGCAAAAATATCAATATACTCGCCTATTAACCACATTTTTAAATGAACTAGTTAAAATGCCTGAGTGCCTTATAGATACAATATATAATTAATCTATATCTATCTATACTAATATATGAAGCTGAAGAGTTTGTTTGTTTGAACGCGCTAATCTCAGGAACTACGGGTTCGGATTGAATCGTGCTGTGACCAATAGAAGCGAAAAAACAGCTGAAAATGTGAACAAAAAGGGGGAAATTATTCATAATATGGGTTACCGAGGCGTACACTGCAATAACGGTTCAAGATACCAAAAAAAATATGTATGAAAGAATGATTCCTCTTAAATGTTCTAAAAAATAGTCCGACATTCAATGTCTATCTTTTAAGATTAACTAGCACGAGTTAATAACGATGAAGGGGTTTGCAAAAACGAATTTGGATGTCCAAAATGACTATTCTACGCGGACGAAGTCGCCGGCATAGCTTACTACCTGATAGATATGTACTTAGCAACATAAAATGCAACTAAGTACCTTCAACCTTGGTTACAGATGGTTTAATAGTTTAAACTTAGATTAGTTTCAGTTATTTACAACTATCGATAAGTAATAAAGTAGATAAGACTAAGTTTAGTTATACTGACCTTAACCTATGTGTTATGAGAACTAAATTGCGAAATATCTTTAGTTCACTGCTGTAAAACTAGGTTGCGGTAGTCAACATTTTTAATTTAGATCATTGCAAATTACACTGTGAATTAAATAATATATGAAATTAATTTTGCCTTATTAGTTCGTGTACTGGGCTTCAAAAACGTGATCGTATTATCTTAATTGTTTTTAATTCAGATCGAGGCAATTCCGAATTGATATTTTAAAGTCATATACTTCTAGGTCACTCTGAAAACTTCGAGAATGCACTCGAAGGAGAGTACGGCGCTGGGCAAATTGCGTTGGCTTTTTATTCCGGGCTGTTTGCTTTCGGCGGTTGGAATTATTTGAACTTCGTCACAGAAGAGCTCCAGGATCCATACAAGTAAGAATCTATATGTCCGTAGTGTTCTTGAATAGAAACAGTTTAAAAAAATTAACGGTTTAAAACACGAAATTTATTACTGAAGCTTTCTAGCAGCCGAATAACCACTTAATCACGACGATGCAAAGCAAAGCGTCAGGTGGTAGTTGATTAGACATTAATTTACGTTTTTTTTTTCTGTTTAAACAGTTAAACGTGTTCTATTTGAAGACTACATAGAACAACGACTATTTTATTAGAACTGGGATATTAGAAATAACTCCTACAAAGCGATATCTAAATTCAAAAAGAAATGACTAGATTAAGTGTATATAGGAGTTGAAGTTGGAGTGGGAGTTAGAGTAGGAGTGATGTGAGGTGAGAGTGTTGCGGCAAAGTAGCACTTACAACATAGATTGGCTGCGAAAAATGCGCACTTATATAAATTAATAAACAGCCTAAATAATTAAAAATTCTACCCCAAGACACTGTTCCACGTGAACGAAGTCGCGGGCACAGATAGTTCTATATTATGTATATAAATATATCTACAGTAATAACGTCACTGCAAAGTATCTATTCAAATTTGAAATAAATATGGCATTTCTAAGTAATGTCCACATTGTGGTTGGTCTATTGTTAATAATATACATAACTTGATAACGTAACGTATTTGCTGACTATTGCAAGACTAAATGTTTTAAAGTCTGAAACAGGATACATCGAAGCTTTATTTAATAAGCGCCATTATAAAAGATCACGTTTCGAGCACTTATCGATATAAGGATACTTGTTCTTAATCGTGACCTATAAAAGTAGAAAGTATAAGGACAGTAGAATAAGATTTAAAATTCTATCTCTATTGTGCGATTAGTAAAAACCACTTATCATTACTTTGTATATAGATATTATTTATTAATTTAATTTAGCTGTTTTAAGTATCAGTTGTAACGATTTAAAACGTGAATTATTAGATAATTAATTATCAGATACGACTCAACGTTTTAGATGCTTTTCAGCCTTGATTTCACGATGAATGTATGATCATAAAAATATATTTTTTGTTTTCCTTTCGTGTAAACTAACAAATTATTTTAAAAAGGTTACGTTATATATATTTTTTAATGACCAGTATACTATATAAAAAGAGCTTTTTTATTATTTTCCTATTAAAAGCACTGACCACGCCCTCTCTAGCAAGTGAGATTTAGAGTCATTTTGTCACTTTATAGAAGAGTGTTTAGTTCAAGATTATATTCCATGAGAGTTTAGAAAATAAACAAGTACCTCTTAAAACCATTCGAAACCACAAAGCTAACACTATCCGTCCTCTCATCTCATTTGAGGGTGTTTGCTGTTTTAGAAAAAGATCAATCTAACTCAGGGGGTACCTACTATTACATGTTTTATTCAAGCAGTGTTATCTACTCGAGCGCGATTCGCTGCCAGAACCTTTTATTCAGTCTCGCAAGTGACCTACTGAAATAATGGCCATGAGATCAAGTATTGCCTTACATTGCTAACATTCCCTAGCGTCCGTGGTCTTAAATTACGTCCTATTTGATAGCTAAGAATGAAACCATAAACGAATTTTATCAAGCTTTATAAGATGTAATTGATATAAACGAGTATACAGGCTCATATGTAATAATCGTTATAATTAATAGTCACAGGAAAGTTCCGAAATTATGATTATTAAGATTGACAGTGTAAAGTGCTCAATAAAAAATATCGCTAAAAAGTTTAAATAAAATTTTACACATATTGATAAGTTCAAGAAAGATAATATCGTCTGCGAGTACCTATCTATACTAATATATAAAGCTGAACAGTTTGTTTGTTTGAACGTGCTTATCTCAGAAACTACACGTTCGAATTGGAAAATTATTTTTGTGTTGGTTAGAGCTTTTATTGAAGAAAAAAGTAAAAAAAGAAAGAAAAAAAAGTTCAAGAAAGATTACATTGTTTACGGGGGCGTATCTATTTTAATATATAAAGCTGAACAGTTTGTTAGTTTGTTTAAACGCGGTAATCTTAGAAACTACTGGTTGGAACTGAAAAATTCTTCGTATCTTCGTGCTGGTTAGGGTATGACTAACAGATTAAATTCATAAAGATAAGAAGGAGGTTTGGAAAAATTGGATGCTCAACATAACTATTTTACGCGGACGAAGTCGCTGTTACAGCTAGTATGTAATAATCGTTATAATTAATTCTCACAAGAAAGTTCCGAAATTAAGATTGACAATATAAAGTGCTCATTAAAAAATATCGCTAATGTAGAGTTTAAGTACAACTTTACACATATTGATTAGTTCAAGATATATTGTCTGTGGGTAAGGGCTTATAAAATATAACCGTGAACAAGATTTACAACATACCTACGATAAGAATATTGCAGGGCCCGTGCATTCACGGTGCAACATCCCGTGAGTTTGATACCGAACGAATCCAATGTGTTTCTATAAAAAAAAAGTATTTACAGATCGTAAAAATGCTTATTCTATAATTCGTAAAAAGCTGAATACTCAAAATTGTGATCGAACAACTGTTTTATAAAAGCCTTGTATTGTAAAATGTAAGTACCTACATTACTCCTTCAGGCTTTGGAAGGTTTTCGTAGGATATCATAGGACTTGGACATTTACCCATAATCATGAATCATGCCTTTCCTTCGAAGTCTGGTATAAAGAGTGCATTTCTCGTATATTGTCTCACTGTCCTCACGAGACCCAAACTGTATATTTAGAAAAATACTATATTTTTAATATTTATGAGAACAAAATTCCAATTTGCGTCATTATCCAATAATCTACGGAAACTTTTGGACGGACGTTGCCCTCCCCAACTGCAAGATTACTGCACCTCTACTCGCAAATACTGGTTTCTGCTTGTTAATAATTCAATTGTCGAATTCTGGTTTTATTCTTACCTGCAAATGCCACATGTTGTAACTTAAATACATTAAATGTAAATAAAAATACATATCATAGTTATATCTATACAAATGCGAATGTTTATTTGAAAAAGACAGACAACCCACCTAAGGACAAACAATTTATTTAAGAAAAAACTTTAACTGTTTATAACGCGAAAATTCCGGATGTTTCACATGCGAAATATTTTCGGATATATAGCCGAAACGTCGGGCCTTAGTTTAATTAATTAGTAAATAAGTTTAATTAATATATTTCGCGTTTTAAATCGTTAATGTGATTTATTTCAATATGTACTACTTGAGTAAACTACAGATAGTATTACTAACTACGACATAGGCTTTTTCAGGTCATTTAATATTATTCGAATTAAAAAACTATGATTAAAAAATCCTTCCTGTTTTTAAATTTTATCTGTATATAAGACAAAATTTAAGCTTATCTACATATTGTTTTTTGATACAGCAAACCTATATATTTCCAAATACAATTTTACAGGAATTTACCTCGCGCGATTTGGATCGCTATGCCGATGGTGACTATTATCTACGTGATGGCGAACTTGGCCTACTTTGCTGTTGTCTCGAAGATGGAAATGATGTCAAATCCCGCCGTTGCTGTGGTAAGCAATCAATTATGTTTTATCGGAACTCCTGCAAATCGATGTCTTAGCATTGCTTTTTTGAACATTTACAAGATCGAATTTTCTTTTTCGAATTTTAATCTAAATTGCTATCTATACATGTGAAGAATATTACATTTTACAATATTCTTTTTGTGCTGTTATTGTTCCTGAGACATGGTGTGAGATTATTTCATACTTCATACTTAGCGCTGCTTTTTTGCGTGTTGGTTTACAACTATTGTTCATTTGGTTAAAAGTCGGTCCTTATCGTTACGACCGTTAGTCGTTCGCGCTCAGTCCTAATTGGAATAAAAATTACAATACTTATCTTTGAGTATTACAACTTCATTTAATGTCAAAAATGTATGTAAATATTATCGAACTACACCTTATTTAAATAAAAAATAATATGTAACTTAAATCTCTATACGGAAGCTTAGTCATGGCCCTGGTACGATGTTGGCGGAGTCAAATCCCGCTTGAAACATTTTTTCAACTAAGCGTTAAACTACTGCGTGGACGTTCTACGTATGTACAGTAATGTTAAATTTCCCATAAAAGTATATTGTTTTTATTATAGAAAAGTATAGACCAGCATGAAAGTCACTTGATGGTAGCTAAACAAGATGCACAGTTGACCTAGATTTTTAGACGAAGTCCATTATGTTTCAGAAATATTAAATATTAATTTGAATGGGATTGAACCACGACCCGTTGATTATTAGTCATACATTGTTACACCAACGAGTTCGTCGAACATTAGTGACATTAAATATTATTATGCCATAGTACTAATGTAACCAACAGGGCCTTATTAGTTAACAACAAATATACTATTTACAGATTTTCGGTGATCGCTTATTTGGAAGTTGGAGCTGGCTGATACCAATTTTCGTGGCCTTGTCTACTTTTGGAGGTGTTAATGGAGTGTTGTTCACCTCAGCGAGGCTCTTTGCGACCGGCGCCCAAGAAGGACACATGCCTGCTTTCTTCTCACTATTTCACATTGACAAACAGACACCGATACCTTCGCTTATATTTACTGTAGGTTTTTTTCATATATTTAATCTTTAAGGGCCTTAGACCACAAAGGACGTGTGCGCAGTTGACCCGTGTCGAATTTTTGTGTGCAGGATGTGTTTGTCTTATTAATTATACTGCCATGTCAGATTGTAAAATCTACAGAAGATAGTAATATAGTGCAGATTTATTTAGATCGTTTAATGGGTTATCATTCTTTTTTTTGTGTCTTAACCGTTTTTGGGTGTTCCCCCCAAAAAAATTTTTCCCCCTTTTTTTTTCTCCCCCCCCCCCTTTTAATTCGAACTAGTAGTTCCAGAGATTTAGCGCGTTCAACCTTCCTCATAAATGCTTCTAACAAAATTTTTAATCACTAGTTTCCGAGCTTTGCGCGTTCAAACAAACAACCAACTTTTCAGCTTTGTACATGAGTATAGACTTCGAATAAACACATGTTTGAGGTGCACCCAGTTAAAATATTAAAGATTTTTGTCTTTGGAAAGTCAAGGGTTACGTCGACATATGTCAAATTATACATAAAAATACTTTATTAATATTTTATGGCCTGGTAACATAAAAATACTAACTGATGATAAAAGCCAACATTTTTATTTCGTTGTCTTCCTATTCATACAGATAACGTTAGTCATGGGCTATACGCGGACAGGGCATTCAATTTCCAATTTAGATAAGGTGACGGTCAAGGCGGTTATTGATTAATTATATAAGGCCGATCTGTTTTATCTAATTTGTTTTTGTATCACTTCTGTGGGCCATGTGACTGACATATCGTAACACTAACCGATTTATTTACTTTGTTAGCAGTTCGAATTCAAATTCGATAGCATCCATTATACAGAATCGTCGTAAATTAATAAGACATGTGCTTTCTGTACTATTATAAACAATGTACAACAAAAGGAGACACATTGTATATTATAGAGAGAGACTAGTGAAGTCTGAAATAGAACACAGAAGCTTCTGTACCATACACGAACATACGCGTCTGTTCTCTCGCCTTTTTTATCTGTAGTTTACTGTGATAGCTTAGCATATTTTTAATTGGAATTAAGTTAGGGTTTAAAGCTGTGAAAAACTCGTATAAATAAATAAATTATTATTACTACATTGGTAAAAATTGAATTAATCCCATTTTCGTTCTATCTATTTACAATCATAAGATACTAAGGAACACAGTCATTACTTATCATAAAAATTATGGCGTATAATTAAAATAAATCAGTAAATATATTGCCTTTGTCTCTAACTCCAAATAAAATAGCAATTAATATCGATATTTTTTCCAATTTCAGTGCTTCTTCTCTCTTCTCATGCTGACTACGAGCAACGTATTCGACCTCATTAACTACTACTCACAAACTCTATGGTTATCTGTGGGAGCGTCTGTGGTTGGCATGCTGTGGTTGCGACGGACTAGACCAGACTTACCTCGTCCGATAAAGGTCAATCTCGCCATTCCTGCTCTTTTCCTCATCGCTATAGCGTGCCTCGTTCTTATTCCAGTCTATACCAGCCCTAAAGACACTGCCATAGGCTTAGGAATTCTTCTGTCGGGCATCCCGGTTTATTATCTGTGTGTAAAATGGCAGAGTAAACCCCACACCTACCATAGAGCATCTGGTTGTGTATTAAGGTTCCTACAGAAGCTGTGCTCCTGCATTTACGTAGACTCGTTAGAGAAATTATCGAATGAAAAATAAATGACTGCTTTTTTTTGAGACTGGAGTTTTTCACTTGACTCTTGCATATAATGTGAAATTTTTATTTATTATGTCGAAATGGCGTGCTGTTTATAATGGACCAAAATTATGTATATCTAAAGATGTTGTTTGCTTAGCAATTAAATACCGGAGTGCTAGCTAAATTGCATAATTTAGTATCTAAGTATTGATTGCTGTAAAATCTGCTGCAGTGTTGCCAGATGCCGAAACGTCTCGATTGCATATTGATCAAAAACAAAATTAAATATTGACTTCTTGGTATCGCGCAAATGTAATTAAAATTTTCTAATAAAAATATTTTTTTAACTTCTGATTATATTTCGTGTTTAATTTGTTCCGCTTGCGACGAAATAATCCCCCTTCTTCGCCTAAAGGGAACCTAATCCAGACTTGGTAAATAAATCTGGCAATACTGATTCTCAGTGATGTTTCAAACAAATAATTTTTACGTCAATGCACAATAAGGGTGTCAAAATGCTTATGTTGGTATCCTTGCGTCAAATTCGCTAATGATCAATTTAAAAATTGTATCAACCTTTTACTACTGTGGTACTGTGGATTATAATTAGTATGTTAGCACTAATAGTACGTAGTAGGATTGTAAAACATTTTTTTTTGAGAAGTTACGACACACTATAGCTTTCGGCATAGTATATACAATGACAAAGTCCTTATTTATAATAAAGTTAAGTAGGTAATAAAAAATATTTATTTACAGCATATACACTTTACACGATATTAAAGTAATTTAGTATTTCATGTCTATAGTACCTATTTTTGCGATACTCGTAGTTGTGGAATGTAAATAAAGTATGTATTATTAGAATATACAAAGTTTTATACATGATTTTAATATATGAAACTATGCTTTAGATTAATGTCTCATCAAAACATTCCCTTATTATACGCGGGTTTATGTTAATTATTTTATTTTTTGTAACATGAATGATAAAGGAAATAATTTTCTTACTCAATAACATTAAATTGTTAAGACTTCAAAATGTGTATTCAAGGACGACAATTAATTACTTTTAGACATACAATACAGCAATATTTTTGCCATTTCTGTGTCCTGTTTTCGTCCATAGCTGAATAGTAGATGTATCGTACCCAATATTTGTTATTATACTCATAAAATTTTATTTAAACTTTATTTAAGAACTTCCCTTTTCTAAAAAATGTGAATCACATCGCTATAGTGTAAAGCTGGTGTTTAAGGTAACGGCTTAATTAATATATAAGTCACGTTAAATATAATATTTATTGCGAAAAAAATAATAGACTGTTGCAAAATATACTTACTCATGTATTGGACACAATATACTGGAAGGTGTAATAAATATATCTTGAAAAGTAATCAAGCCTGGGGCTTGGGGTCAAGTTAAGAATTACAAAACGTAATCGAACTGCGTCAAAACCGCTGAGATTAAGCTTTTGTAATTGATAACTTGGCTAAAGCCCCTATCTATTTTATTTCTGTTCCAAGACACTCCAGAGTCTAGACAGTTTTGCGTGTTTTGTTGTGTCAGGAGTCAGGTTTTAGGAGTATAAAAATTAAAACTGGCAGTTTTTAGAATATTCAAATTGACAGTAGCTATCATCGTCTCTGTTACAAAAGTTGTAAATCATGTCTAACAAATGTGAATGCAAAACATATAGATATTTCACCCAAACAGTTTTACTGTAAAGATCTATATACAACGGACACCTAGATACGTAAATATGCAATTTCTAAAAGGAAACGTCTTATTACCAAGTATTAAACATTTACGATATTTTGGAGCAAGTGCGGTTTTAAATGGGAAACGATGGTTGCCCGACGTTAATTTCATGAAACAATTCGAAGGCGTCGCCTTATACGCGACACCAGAAATGGAGAAATACGCCAAAGTTTATTACGATGGAAGAGTGAAACCCATAGAAAGGAAACTAAAGTACATGTGGCTTAATTTTGGCCCACAACACCCGGCTGCCCATGGCGTCTTACGTCTCATTCTTGAACTCGACGGTGAATACGTACTGAGAGCCGACCCTCACATTGGATTTTTACATCGAGCCACAGAAAAGTTAATGGAGTACAAACATTACAACCAGAGTTTACCCTTCATGGATCGCCTTGATTATGTATCCACGATGTGTAATGAAATAGGTTTTGCCTTGGCCGTTGAAAAACTGCTCAATATAGACGTTCCGCCTAGAGCTCAAGCGATTAGAGTTCTTATGAGCGAATTGTCGAGAGTGGCTAATCATCTACTGAATGTATCCGGTACGGTTCTCGACGCTGGAGGTATAACACCTTTCTTTTGGATGTGCGAGGAACGTGAAAAAATTTATGAACTATTCGAAAGAGTTTGCGGCGCGCGTGTTCATAATGCTTACATAAGAGTGGGAGGAGTTAGCCAAGATATTCCCATCGGATATCTAGATGATGTTCACGAGTTTTGTATGAAGTTAGGAGAGCGATGCGATGAAACCGAGGACCTTGTAACTGGAAATAGATTGTATTACGAAAGAACCGCAGGAATAGGGGCGTTTAGTGCTCACGATGCTATTAACCTCGGGTTCACAGGACCTATGCTGCGATGTACTGGCGTAAAGTGGGATTTGAGAATAACTCACCCTTACATAGGTTACGAGATGTACGACTTTGATGTACCGGTCGGTACCTTTGGAGACAGTTATGATCGGCACCTTCTGCGTTGCATGGAATTACGACAGTCTTTAAGAATCATAAACCAAGTTATAGATACTATGCCGGAGGGCGAAGTGAAAACTGATGATTCGAAGGTGACAATGCCTTCTAGAGCCGAAATGAAAACTTCTATGGAAGCATTGATACATCATTTTAAATTGTGCACTGAGGGATATAATGTTCCGCCCGGTGCTACCTATACATCTACAGAATGTCCTAAGGGCGAACTAGGTATTTATATGGTAGCAGATGGAACTTCAAAACCCTATCGGGTCTTCATAAGACCTTGCTCTTATCTCCATTTAGCTGGTCTGGCTGTATTATCACCTCGTATGATGCTTGCTGATATATCTATTTTAATTGCTACAATTGATATAGTATTCGGCGACATCGATCGTTAACTTTTACTTAGTTTAGTAAACATTGAAGTTAAATGCCAAAATACAGTCTTATTTAATTTAATTTTCAGTATCAGATGTACATTGTATCTACAGAAACAGGCACACATCATTGCTGAACAATAAATAATTAGATATTGTTTGATGTCGATTCGATCGATTAAGTACACTTTGAAGCAGTCCTACATTTATATTAAACTTTGTGAGAATCCAATTGTAAATAAAGTAATATATTAAAAAAAATTGAATGCGTGGAATGGAACTTTTTATAATCGTAAAACAAAAAGTTTCAATAATCGATTGATAATAGCTCGATTTTGTTCTACAGACTACAATTGTCATCTGTCAAATATCATATGTATTTGACATGATATCACATGATAATACCAAATGACAAATAATACCAGTAAACTCTCCGTAAACCAAAAATCATGAACAAAAACTATTCAATATTTATTACCAAAGCCCACCAAAATTATGCTTAAGTATAGTTTTTTATTTGCTTATTGAAAGGGTTCTAGAAGAGCAACTACTCATCCCTGTTACATATTTAAATAAAACTGCATAAGGCTGAACTTGTAGAGGTCTATTGTGTTGTGTTTTTTTAGTGCAATACGCTTTGTTTGTCTCGACGGTCTTTCTAAGCATAATGTTAGACTTAAAATTCGAAATTGTATCATCTCGCACCGTTGAAGGTGTCGAGAAAGAAAAGAAGTTTGTGGCGTACATGGTGCAAGCTCGACAGTCACGAATCTTTGATCCTGAGCCCGCCAATGTGGAAAGGCGGTATACGCATTTTTTGGATCTCTACAATGGTCTTAAGAAAGAGTATCCATCTCTATTGAACAATGTCTCTTTCCCTAGAAAGGTAAGAAATAGCAGTCACAATTGCTTTCCATACTTAGGTCTTTTGTTTTGGTAACAAATTTTACATTGATATTTTTATGTTGCTTGATACTTTAAGCAATTCCCATTATAGATAATGATTATCAATTTGTTTTTTACAGATTGTGGTGGGAAATTTTGACCCTACATTAATTTCATCTCGATGTGCAGGGTTTGAGTGTCTGTTAAATTTAATTGCTAATGAGTCACGACTGAGGGACTCTGTGGCAGCTATCACTTTCTTCCAAGACGTAGAATTAAAGGAAGCCAGACGCCTTATTGTTGAAGAGAAATATGATCAAGCTTTATCAGTATTAGAAACAAGTTTTAAGTTATTAAGTAAGGTAATGTAATGTAACATCATTTTTATTCTTACACTAGAGCTTTTATTTTGTTACTACATTTTAATTTTGGTATACTTGTGTCATTGTCTATATGTAATAGTGGTCATTCATCTTATGGTATTTATAAACTTAATTTCTAGGTATACACAGATAGGTCTAGAGTAGTTTTAGGTGTACTCTGTCGTATAGTGGCCTGTGCTGCTTCTAGTGGTGGGGCTTTAGCTGGACCAGTTGAAAGGTGGGCCCAGCTCGCTTTGAGAAGATATGAAGCTGTCAGTGACTCGGACTTGTTGCTTATATACATTCCGTTATTGCATACTTGTATATCTATATGGTAAGAAAATTCAACTATTTCTCTATAAGGTTTCTTTTTATGACTCAGATGTTCTCGTACCTTACATTAACTTGTATAATGATTCATTGTTGAAATCACATGATCTTCTGGGTCAATGATTCATAACTTATCAATTTAATGAACAAATGACAGCATATTTAATTTTTATCAGTTATATGTGCAATTTAAAATTTACGGAACTATTCAAATAAGAAATATATATTAATTGATTTGATTTAAACAAATAATAGGGTTTTTTAATAGGTAATTTTATGAGATATTATTTATCTTTTTTCAGGGAAACATTGGGCCGTGATAAATCCAAACTAGTTGAAGAGTTAAATAATCTAAGAAAACGAGGAATGAAAGTTGATTCGGTTCCAAGTCTCACTGAAGCTATTGACAATTTAGATACTGCTGTATAGCTGAACACTTCTATGATAGCAAAGGTAGATTCTCAGTAAATTGAAATATTACAGTAATTCAAGTTACTAAAAACAACAATGTTATTATCCTCAGACCATATGGTTAATCAAATTACATTTATTGAATAAAGAACTTATATATAACAACACATAGCTTACATGATATGTCTCATAAAGGGAATGGAATATTGAGAATTCCATTGCTTTCTATTTATATAACGAAGGTACATAATGATATTTTAATGGTCTTCAGTGTAGGTACATATTTTACATGTACATTTAAAGTAATTTTTCTTTTTATTTGCTTTGATCGTTTGTATATGTTTTTAAAGCTAATTGTCTGTAGTATACAATATCTATAAAAAATTTACTGATTTACAGTGATGCAGCTTTTTTTAAAGCTATTGCTTTATGTTTTTATAATTTTATGACAAATAGTCACAATTTAAATCAGGCTTTTTTATTGGCAGTATTATTGTATAATTTTATTTTACTCATAAGATAGGTATTCACTTAGGGACAATTTTTAATAGGCATGTATTGTTTTTTCATATTTTTACAATACTTTGGCAACTTGTAGCTGCTTGTATAGGCTAAGTTAAGAATAATTTATAGACTAAAATACTAAACCAAAAAAATGCTTTATAGCTACTCATCAAATAATTACTAATTGTGCCTAAATTATTGTATATTGAATTGTGATAACTTGTAAACTCGTTATACTAAGTCTTGTCAATTGGTCTCTGTTAGTGAGAAGAGACTTATATACTTACATTTAGAGAAATGGCCTTACGGGGGTATTAGTCATGTAATATAAAAAAATGGTATAATATGTGTGTACTAATGCAACATTGTATGGTAAATTTAGCAATGATGTATCATTTCGTTTTGATATTTGCATTATAATTGTTGACTTCGCTTTGGTTTGTTTTGTTAACTAAATTTTCAGAGGGAGTAATTAAAAAAACTTAGCACATTAAATATAGCATATAATTGTCTTTCGGGCTCTGAGAGAGAGAAGAGGTTCTCGACGTTAATTCTTCGAGCAATCGAGGAGTTAACATCTGATGATGCCGTCCATACGTGATGGCGTAACGTCGAGAACCTCTTCTCGCACACGTCGGCCGAACAGCCCGAAACACAATGACATAGTTGAACGATGGCCGTGAAAGCCTTACACAATTTACATTCAATATAGATTTTTATGTAGGCTCTGGACTTACCTCTCGACGGACCCAATATACACCATCACAAAGTTTAACTCTTAACTAACCAATGACGTTACATCTTGAAAAAACTCTGTTGGAAGTCTGACTGACGTTTATATATATATATATAAACGTTCACTATGTTACCAAAACTGGCTGTCTCTTCAATAGGTATTTACTTTCTTGCTAGATCTGAACTAGAAGTAATTTGTAATAATGTTTATTCGTATATAATCAGTATCGATATATTAGTGTAATGAGTATTATGTACGGTTTATATTTTAAATATATTTTTGTTTTTAACACAATCAATTTTATTATTCGTTATTTAGTATAATTTGTTATGGTAATACTATATGTAAGATTTAAATAAAGAGCAGCATTGCCTAAACTAAAATATATTAATCGAAGACTTCATTTTTAAAGGAAAGCAGTTTTGTCTGAATGTAAGATCTGTAGAACTTATTTCTTTTTATAATTCCTTGTATTCGCTTGTATTTTTAATTTGGTATAAGTTACAAATAAGATTACAGTTAATATACAACGAAACAAAAATAATGGGTGACACTGGTATGAAAAAAGGGATTTTCAATTAAGTACAATAATGTTAATAAATAAAATAATGTTGAATCCGACAAGGTATATTACACATTAGAACCTTTTCCACTCCCTCCTATTCTATGCCACTCTATTCCAAGTGACTGCTATTTCCCTTCATCTCTTTTGGGGTCTTCTTCTATCTCTTATTAAGTGTCAGACATTTGTCTAACTTTCGTTGCTAGGTCTATTATATTATTAAAGCTAAATTAAATTTGATTCTTGAATCTAATCACTTGAATTCTTTGTCTGCTGCTAAAGCTAATATAAGCAAGATTATACCTAATCGACTAACCGATCTTGTATGTAAAGTACGGAACAGTCCTACTAAATATATCTATTAACACAATAAAAGTTTACATATGTAATGGTAAGGACATATTTTACACATTTGTAGCTATTGGCATTGTTTATTGATTATAAAGAATTATTCCCCAATAGATGTTTTATTTCGATTTATCCTTAGTATTTTTCATTATAATTCTCTTTATTATCTTGGAAATTACGTTTTGTACCCAAAAAACATGTATACGGTAAATAGATTAATTAATAAATCGCTGATCAAGAGAATAGCAAAAAGCGTAGATAAACAAAAGCTCTGAAGAAGCAAGTTTGCTTAAGCGCGGCTGGTAACAGCTATAAATCTGCCGTCTAGATTTACGACGGACCTCTGCAAATCGGTTTATATTTTCGATAAATAAAATTGGCGCGGGTTTTGCGAGGTAAGCAGAGGCAGTTAGGAGCACGTCGCCACGCCAGCTGCCGCATGCACATAAACCCGACTACCCTCGCGTTTTCTTGCTGACAATTTTTTCCTGCTACGGTCATTACGCAGCTGGGCCCGAGACAAAACGGCGAATCGTTTAAGCCCTCTACGGAGACCATCCAATTTTATTGTGTAGGTATCTAGTAGAAATTTATATGCTGCTCAGGCACTAGGCTTTTATAGCCTTTGTTGAGAGCTAAGAACAGGAAAAACGATTCATTTTTTATTGGAAGGTGCGTGACGTAGGTATTTATTAATCAGATAACTATTAACTTAAAAATAGACTTTATTAACACTCCTTTTACATGTTACATTGCGAACTTTTTAGAATGGTTTAGAAATATCGAACCAACGTCCACAGATGGAAAAGCCTAGTAAGTTTGACGTGTTCAGTTTCCACAGCTAAAATAGTGGACGGCGCATCGTGTTTAAATGTTATTTGTCTGGGGCAGTTCACCAAGCATCAAGTAAAGAAGAGGAGAAAATAAATTTAAGTCTTCTTTGGTTATGAAAACGACTTTTGGGACGCTAATCAGTAGCAGATGTGATGAAGAATGATTAAGTTTTAGATCTTGTGTTGTCAAGTACAAACAGGTACTTTACCTACTTAATAAGTTTTACTTTAACATAGAACCGCCATTTTGAATTCTATTCTACATTTAAATAAAACACTTTTACGGTTTTAAAACCCAAAAAATTTTTTTAAATTTTTTTTTTCTTTATTATTCTAAATTTTTTTTACTTTATTCTACATTAACATTTTTTATTCTGCTCTGACAAGCGTTTTATAAAAATGCAAATCTTCTATTATCCTTGATTTTATTCTTTTCTTTTAATTTATATTAAATGACGTATTCAGCACAGATAATTGTCATTTAGCAATCATCAAGTTTTATTAAACTACTATGAATTTGCATTTTAAATTGTGAAGTGAAATACAACGCTGCTGAATAAAGAAATGAGTTCAAATCAAAGTGATTGGGATGTCGTGTCGATTATTATAGCATTGGTGGTGTTTGTCCTTCCACTAACGCTGCTTCTTCCAGACTTCTCGCTATGGGATGTACTCCCTAAGATTCGGGTGATGCGGTACCATATTATATCCCAAAATGTTACACCGATGCAACTAAACTCTGCATTTATCGTTTTGCAATTAATCTTCTTCTTCCTCTTTCTTGAAATTCGTAAACGAAGGTAATACTCAAAGATTTGGTTCTTTACTTAAATCCTAAACATATTGCTAAGTATTATTTATGCCATTTACTCCGGGCAAGATGCCGAAGTCTTAGTTAATAAAAATCATTTTTGGATACGGAACCCACAGCTTTGTTACTCGTAAAGATCATACGATAATATACCTGCTTCATATTATTTAAATAAAACCACACACACCATCATTTAACGGTTTAAATCGCGATATATATTAGTTAAACATATTTGGAAATTATTTAAGCTACGGCCCGATGTTTCAACAACTAAGTTCGACAAATAAGTTTAACTCATATATATCGCGTTTTAAACCGTTAAAGTGTTTAATTCAAATGTGTACTACTCGCGTAAACTACAGACAGTATTTAATTATTTTTTTAGGCTTCAAGAAATGGTGGACAGCGTATTGTATGTGGCCAGAGCCACAGAAACTACAATGGACGAGGAACGGCTAAAGCAAGTAGCCGCTGTGAGGGTCTGCGTCGAACTGCTCGATGCCTCCACTGAACATTACGAGAATCTCATTCTTCTAAGAGATGAGTTCCGGAGGCGGGACCAATTTAAAATACAGCATCCGCCGTTTATAGAGCCAAGCACCTCAAACATTTGAAGAAATGTTAAGCGTCATTTGAAAAGTCTCAATATTTTTATCCACTTTTTGTCTTTACTTATTTTAAAATAAATTTAGAAAGTAATAGTAATCACAACAAAATTTGTTCCTTTATTTAAAGCAACTTAATCTACCTTTACTCGCTTATCTCTGACATACTTCTCATCATACATGAAGTGATGTTTTTGAAATGAGCGAAATAGCGTTTAATGATCATTTAAAGAGGAATCATTCTTAATATACATATTTTTAAGTACCTTGAATCGTTTTTACGCGTACGCACCGAAAACTCACAAATGTGATTCATATTCTTCTCCGTTGTTTCCACATTTCCCCCAGTTTCTTCGCTCCTATCAGTCACAGCGCGATGTTTTATAGCCTATAGCCTTCCCTGATAAATGTTCTTAACAAAATCAAAACAAAAATAATTTTCCAAATACTGTCTGTAGGTTACGCGAGTAGTACCGACAGTTTTACCTTAGTCTCCTCGTGACCAAGGTATTAGAAACGTCGAGCCGTAGTTTAAATTATTTTCAAATAAGTTCAATTAATATTTATCGCGTTTTAAATCGTTAAGTATTTTATTTAAAATAATATATTTGTTTTATATATTAGTATAGAATTTGCACTATCAAAGTTTATAATTAATTATAAGTTACTTATCTGAAAATTCAAAAGGGCGCGGTGTGGCATTTGCTTCAGTTGCAGTGTAACTAGACGTGTTCATTAGACCAAACGTCCCGGAGACCTCATGGGACGTTGTTGACGCGAAAAAACCAATCTGGAGCTGGCAATTACGGCAAATGACCTAATTAGACGCCGCTCCTTGCGGCCACTCGCCGGAAAATATTGCCTTATTTAACACTAAGGCGTTCACGACAAACGTAGATATTTAGTTTCGTTTCAACTTAAGAATGTGCCACCGCTGATTACGAATCTTGCATAGAAAATAATAATAATTTTTGCCTCGTTAAATGCTTAGACTAGGTGGGATTTTAAGACTGTTACGAAATTGTCAAAACTTCGTATTGATTATGCAAATGTTCTTAAAATAATCCCATATACTGAAGAAATATTTTGGCCCAAGACAACTCCAGCCGATTGTAGGTAACGCTGTACAAAAGAAGTGGATTAAAATGCAATGAAGAAATGTGAAATTAAATACACAAACATAACATTATATTTAGTCTATTCTAAAAAAATATAACGCTTGGCAATGATATTTTTTTATGCGTTGCTTTTGGCATTAGATTATTTCATATTTACAAAGTGTTTATTTATAGAAAAAGGCACACTGGAATAAAACATTGTAAGACGAAATTATCTGTACTAAATCGATTACTATGAGTAGTTATTATTACTTAATGATGCACTTTTCGTCGTTTAAAGAATTTAAAGTTATGCAAGACATGGAAGGGGTCAATTTATTATTAAGTTTGAAAATCACTTGTTCATAAAACTTCTAAATCACATTAATTTATATCTCACCTCTATATACTTTTTTATTCAAAAAGTAAACGCATATAATTATTAGATTCTACACTACATAGATTTTAACACTACAGACAAGACAGTAAAGTTCCGACGAAAAGGTAGTCATTTTGTAGTTCTACATAACACCACCGCGTCTTGATCACGACTCTTCAATTTAGAGGGATCCGCTGGGAGCGGATCAGCTCGCAAAAATAAATAAAACTGTTATTGAGATAAGCATCTGCGCCGCGGCTTTCGCTAAGTCCCGCTGTGTCGCGCTGAACAATGTTCTGAGATATGTCCGGATTATGGCGCGCCGCAGCTCCTCGCGTTCCAAACCTGCCTCTTTTCTGCCGAGTTTCACAGCTGAAACCGCTTAACATAAATGGGATGAAACTCTTTTAAATAGATACACTTCAGCCGAGGAATAGTTTTCCCGTCTTGTGCGAAATAACGTCTGAAATCCAGGGATTTTACTTGTCTCGTCTTCTAGGTGAGGAATTGGATTATTCTCACTGTATTGCAAACTCAATGTCATATAGAAGTGCTATTAAAAGATAATGGGATACAACGAAATGGAAAGAACAACCTAAACGATGACAAGCGATCTCTTGCAGGCAACTCTCAACTTTGTAGCAATTAAAGCAAAATCACTTTACGTCTGCTAATAATCTAAAGAAATGTCCGCAACAGCATAATATGTCTATCTTTTATGATCAACTTGCAAGAAGGACGAGACGCAGACGACGTTGTGGGCTACCGCTATAATTAATAAAGATGTGACACAGCTAGTTATAGTTATCATATAATTATAATGTAAAAGTTAATGGGTATGGATAAAAATAATATATATTGGACAAAGACACCGGTGACTGCGTACAAACGATTGACTGCATCGTAAGATGGTCCGGGGCGCACCTGCGGCTTGTCCCGGATTAATTTCTCATCACGCAGAACGCTTTCCCGGGAAATAATGAGATCTAGAGAAAAATGCCACTGAGCCCAGCGTCCCTTGGCTTGATTAATAAATTTCATGGCTGTGCGCGGTTCTATATAATTTTATGTCTTTGTTTTATATTCTCTCTATACAACTGGGTCCATACTATAAGTATGCTATCCATTATATACCTACTCGTATTAGCTTATTTTCTATTTTATTATTTCAAATTAATAGTTCCTATTTTAAGAAAACAGATAACGAAAATATCCGTTATTTATTACAAAGTATATACTAAAATATCTATAGTTTACGCGAGTAGTACACATTTAAATAAAACGGGGGACCCACCCCCTCCCCCGGCCACCACGGCTCCAAAAAACCCCCAAAAAGGGGGGGTCGAAGTTATTGTTTAATAAATGTTTACGGTTAAAGTATATATAAAGTATATAATTACATACAATATCTTTTTTTTGTTATTGTCATAAAAAAAGAATGATAAAATTTAAACAATGTGATAATATTTTACAGTACATACAATGGGTACCGGGCAACCCAGTTTAAGTAAATTAAGTTACCTAAGTGTAAGGGTAGTGCAGGATAACTAGTGACTTCTATTAAGAAAACATCTTGAACCTTCGCCACATAATTTTTACGCCGGAATAGGTTCCAACCGGTGACACTGTGACCGCAGTCACGAAATTACATTGCATGCGATACTTTCACAGCCGCAAGATGGCCGCAAGCATATGTCGGTTTGTCGCTCTTTCCGTTTAATAACTGTACTTCAGTTACTTTAATACAATTATTTACTATGTCATTTTTGTTTGCGGTAAGCGGTCACACGAACAAATTCGTTCTCGTAAAATACGCTTCGAGGTATGTAAATTGTTCGTAAATTCTTACAGAAGTTGCTTTTGGTTATACACTTATCTATTAGCTAGATAAGAACAATTATATGTACATGAACTAATAATAAATTGAAAAAACGTTTACGACTCGGGCAGGTCTTGAACCGAGATCCCCAGCGTGCCGTGTCGCTCTTTATATAGTGTCGTCATGTGGCAATGAAATGTGAAAAATAGTAAATTCTAAAAAAAGTCTTAGATGACAGTTAAGTAGGTATTTCACCTTCCGACAAGTGAGCCTCCTGCTTGTCTGTCCTCCTATAACAAAAAAAAGAAGTATCAAGTTAAATGTTGGTAATGGTATGGTAATTTTTAAATTCTACTAGAAAGAGCATGTACTCACATACAATTGAATTACTTACCAAAATCAAGACGCTGTTACTCGTAGCTACTTTAAGATTGTAAGGCTATCCTCCATAAATCCAAATTGTCTCTTTAGCCTTCACTCAGAATTATTTATGTTACTATTTATTGTATTAACATAAATTGGACATGAGTTATTTTATTGCTCCGAATGCGTCGCTAGAATGCGCCCAACAAAGCTTATGATTGTAACTCAAATTTGTCATAGATCGTAAATGAAATATTTGTTTATAATGTCATGGTACTAAGTGAAGTTTGATCTTTTCTCAGTATTCATTGCGTAAGTACGTCTTTAAGAATAATCATTTTTTGCTATGGACATGAAGGCGCAGCTTTTTCTAATTCGTTTTTCTATGACATTAACACTATTTGCTTTAAATGGCGCTCACCTTTAGTGGGCGAAGCTGTTAAAGGCTTAAGACCGGAGACATGTATATGTATAATAATACATATACGCACAAACGTCCACACCAAAGGTATTGTTCTAGCTTACAAAGTTTCAGAGTAGCATAAAGAAAAACCCCACGAGAAGATAAGCACTAACATTTTCAATTTTGAACATAAGAATAGCCACATAGTCAGCTCATACTTTGTTCGCTTTGTAAACATTAATAAACAGCGGTCGTTAAAATTTAACATCACTAAGGTCCACGGCTCAAATGTCTATATTGTATCATATTGTGAATAAAGTCGCGTTAATCATTATTTAATGTCCTCCGAGAGAAGTGCCCCTATTTTACTTAAGTTAACGATATGGCAACGACACTCACGTTCATATTTAAGCCTTTTCATCTGTCAAGATTTAACAGCTACGAAATTGGGTTATAATTTACGATTTTATCTCGTGACACCATGGGGGCTGTGGTCAGCGATCCGATGAAAAAATGTGCCCTCGATGTAACATAATGGCCGCTACACACCCGCCCGGTTACGACTTGCCAAAATAGAGTCATAATAATGAGAGATGGGACCAAACTTGTGCGTAATATAGAATGGTTCTGTAACGAGCGCCGGCGGCCATTCTGCAGTCCGGTGGGCATTCTCCATGTTGCCCTGTCGCTGTCGGGGGTGATTTAGAATCACTTTTGTTGGTCAGTTTGTGACTCAATTATCATTGTCCGCTTGCAGTCGATATTGTTATAAATAGGGGTGAGTGGCCCGTGTGTGGTACGGTATAATATATGGTCGCGGTGTATAGAGCCCGGCGCTTGAGATTGATACAGACGCCAGCCGCTGTTGCCTGACAAATAGTTGTAGTGGAGGAGGCGTCGCAAGGCGTCTTACCATAAATAAGGATTACGCTGCGACCACGTAGTCTT